TCCACAAGGGTGTTTGTACAGTCGGAGTCACTTCATACCTACCTTTCCCTAATGTTGATGTAATAGTTGGTAATGATTTAGCAGGGGATAAGGTAGGGGACTCCAGACTGCCTATTATGTTGCCTACCCCTAAGGTTTGCCTGGAGCCACCCGCCGCAGAGGATAATGTTGTGTACCCTGCGTGCGCGGTGACCAGGTCTATGGGACTTAAATGTAAGGGCAGCCCTGTGCTTGCCAAGGTGGTAAATCCCGAGGTCACGAGGAGCTTTCCGAGTGGTGAAAACCAAGTGGACCTCGCGGACACATTCATGGCCCGACTCGATGACGTGGCCGAGGACATGGTGGAGAGCCTGCCACCGCCATCTACCGAGAGTAGTGGGGAGGTGGAGAACACTGTTGAGCCTCGGCCAATGGCATCTGACCAAGGCCTAGATGCCTCCTTGAGTGAGTTACAGAAAGCTGACCCCACTCTTGCAGATTGTCATGAAACAGCCGTCTCTATGGAGGAAATTGTAGAAGCAGCAACTGGGTACTACTACAATGATCGGATTTTGATGAGAAAATGGAGACCACAGAGTGCTCCCTTGTCAAATGAGTGGGAGGTAGTCCACCAGGTTATGTTGCCGACCTGCTATAGAGAAAGAGTTTTGGCAGCTGCTCATGATGATCCTATGGGGGGACATCAAGGTATTAATATTACGTATCACAAAATTTTAAAGTATTTTTTCTGGCCCAAGCTGAAAAGCGATGTGGCAAAATTTTGTAATGCGTGTATTGTTTGTCAACTGGTTGGGAAACCAAACCAGACTCCACCTAAAGCTCCTCTAAGGCCTATTGTCGTGCCAGAGGAACCATTTTCTCATGTGGTAATGGACTGTGTTGGACCATTACCTAGAACTAAGTCTGGTAATATTTACCTAATCACGATGATGTGTATCACTACTCGTTACCCAGAGGCTTTTGCTGTAAGGAACATCCGAGCAAAAACTGTTGTTGCTCGTATGTTGCAATTTTTTTCCACTTTTGGACTGCCTCGGGTCGTGCAAACTGACAATGGTACTAATTTTAAGTCTGATGTTTTCGAGCAATTTTGTAAGGAACATGGAATAACTCATAAGGTTTCCAGCCCATACCATCCACAGAGTCAGGGGGTAATTGAACGTTTCCATCTAACTCTGAAGCAGATGTTGAAGACATCGTGCGAGAGTTCCCACACCTTCTGGGATGAGAATTTACCGTATGTTTTGTTTGCGGCTAGAGAGGGATTACAAAGTTCACTGGGCTGTTCTCCTTTTGAGTTAGTCTTTGGCCATAAAGTTCGTGGACCCTTGCAAATGTTACAGGAGAATCTGTTAGGGAACGTAACGTTATCCGAAGGTTCGGCTTTCTTTGCGCAACACCACCAGAGACTCAAGGACTGCAAGGCGGCTGCATTAAAGTATCTTGGCAAGGCCCAAGAAAAGATGAAAGAACGTAACCATGCTAAATCTAAGTTACGGGTATTTCAGCCTGGCGACCCTGTCCTGGTATTAAAGCCTCGACTAGGGAACACTATGTCCCACAAGTACGAAGGCCCCTACATTGTGACAGAAAAGACTGGGGACCTCACGTACAAAGTGAGGCACTCTGACAAACGTAACCAGGTAATGCTCATACATGTAAATCGACTGAAGAAGTTCCAGGGCCCCAGGCCCATTGCACTAACCAATGTTTCCATTTCCAGTGAGAGAGGGGATGATTGTTCTGGGGACCCAACTAATCTCATTTTCAATAATTCTAGTTCTGTGAATGCTGTGGAGGAACTGTCCCATTTGCAGATGGCCCAACGTGAAGAGGTGCAGTCGTTGGTTGATGAATTCTCCAGTCTGTTCGGGGAGGTCCCGACCCAGACTGATGCCATTTGCCATGATGTCGAGTTGACGGACTACACTCCCATTCGCCTTCAACCCTATCGGATGAGTCCAGAAAAGAAGGCCATCATACGGAAGGAGGTCGACTTCTTGCTCCAGCACGGCCTCATCCGGCCGAGCCAGGGCTCTTGGTGCTCGCCCTGCCTTTTGGTCCCCAAACCAGACGGCTCATGGCGATTATGCACCGACTATCGGCAGCTCAACAAGGTGACCATTGTGGATGCCTATCCGCTGCCCCTCCTCGAGGACTGCATTGACGAGTTGGGAAATGCCAAGTACGTTTCGAAATTCGACCTCTCGAGGGGGTATTATCAAATCCCACTCACTGAACGTGCTAAACAGCTCACCGCGTTTGTGACACCCGAGGGTGTTTTTGAGTATCAAGTGTTACCGTTCGGCTTGCGTAATGCTCCGGCCACGTTCCAGAGACTCATGAACTCTCTACTCGCTAAGGTGCCAAATTGTCGGGCGTATTTAGATGATATCGTGCTGTTTGACAGTAATTGGGCTGACCACATAGCTAGGTTACGCCAGTTTTTTGCCATCTTGAAAAGGGCAAATCTTACCTTAAATGCTAAAAAGTGTCATTTTGGCCAAGGCACAGTGACGTACCTCGGTTATGAAGTGGGCCAAGGAAAAGTGTTACCTCGGCAAGATAAAATCAATGCCATTCTGGAGTATCCAGTACTAAAGTCTAAAAAGGACGTTCAAAGATTTATCGGTATGTGTGCGTACTATCGACGTTTTTGTCAGAACTTTTCCAGTGTTGCCACTCCTCTCACAGACTTGTTGCGGAAAGCCGTTAAATTTAAGTGGTCATCAGACTGTGCAGAGGCATTTAAAAATTTGAAATTGATCTTAGCTTCCGCCCCAGTGCTTGCTAGTCCAAGGTTCGACCGACCGTTTAAAATTCATGTTGACGCGTCTGACTCGGGTGCTGGTGCAGTGTTGTTGCAAACTGGGGATGATCAGGTGGAACACCCAGTATATTATTACTCTGTGAAATTCGACAAGGCGCAACGCAATTATTCAGTGGTAGAAAAAGAGGCGTTGGCGCTAGTGTTAACATGTAAAAAGTTCGAAGTTTACCTCACAGGTAATATAGTGGAAGTGTACACGGACCATAACCCACTAGTCTTCCTGACTCAGATGAAGGGTAAGAATAAACGCATCCTCAGGTGGGCGTTGTACCTACAGGACTTCAATCTTTCCATTACCCACCTACCGGGCAGACTCAACGTGATAGCCGACGCTCTGTCCCGGTTGCCTGAATAACATTCATCTGAGCCACAGAAAGCCATTTACCAACTGTCATGCTTTAGTTATTTTTTTTTAGGTTCTCCTGTGACATTAAATATTCCGTGTCCAATTTATTTACTTCCCTGTTCTTTTATTTTTGTTGTGTATGTTTTTTTTTCTTTCAGAGAACTCCTTTGTATTTTTTTTTTTTGCAGAGAAATTGCTTTTGATTGATTTTTTGTTTTTGTCATGTTTTTCTTTTTGTTCTCTGTATACTCTTACAAAAAAAAATATGACTACTATTCTAGTAGTCACATTTTTTTTTTCTCTGAAGGGGGGAGGAGTGTTACGACCCTGGGTTCTCCAGTGGAAACCAGAGGTCAAAATTGAGCTATTAAACTTCCTAAGTAGTACAGTTGGCGCATTTCGAATGGAAATTGTTTGTATCTTCCCTGCCAGACGTAAGACTATTATTGTTTCTCAAAGAGCATTTAAAGACTGAGCTGGGGGTTGATTATTAAATAATAACATAGGCACCAACTTTGCTTACTAATACTTTCTAATCATTCATAAAGTAACAATACGTTGCATAGGGGAAGATCTTTAATGTGCTTAGCTGCACGATCAATTAGGCTCCTTCCGGCACCACGACATGAGGGAGGCCAGGTGGTCGCGAGGAGCTCGCTCTTCTCTTGGCTGGTGGCGTGAGGTTAAGACCTACTCTGTGGCTGTATCCCTACTCTCCTTCCTTCTCCTCTTACTTATTTCCCTTACCTGAAGTTCCTGTATCCTTAAGCTAAGTACAGGGCATTAGTGAGTGTGCCTACTCTGGTAGTAACGATTGGTGAGACCTGGGGATAGTATTTTGCCAGTGTTTGGGTACCCCTAAGTGTTGTGTTTTGTATTAGGGTCCCACGTGGTTTCACTACCCTAAGCTGCATCCAGCTTCAGTGCTTATCCAGTAGTACTTTACCCTAGCTTGTTATTAGTGTAAACCTTGTATCCTGCCTATGTGGACCAAGGCTTTTAACGTAAGATAGTGTGGTAAAGTTATTATTATTATTGTTATTGGTGTGAGTGTATGGGGGTTTGTTAAGGGGTTAATAAATAAGTACATGAATTACAGAGTATCTCTTCTTCCAAGGTGGGAGCGCAGTGATCAACCCTTAGACTAACATATTTGGTCTTGTAGCAAGTTATTACTACTGTGGATAGTTTATTTTGGGGGCCGGGCCTTTTAGCTCTCCCATATTTGATACTCCTGTCTTCTAACTACCTATACCCCTTAATAGTACCAGTACCCCATAGAAGCCCCACTCATATCATTTGTAACACAGTGTCACATCATCTTCCTAAATAATACACACTACAGATGTTGGCATCATTCTGAAATGTCAAGGTAACACCTAGATAAAAGATAATGTAAACTCTGGATTGAAGCCATTAATATATTACAGATTACACATCACAAGTCACTACATTCAGGTTTAGCAGTATTATCACAAAATGCTCCTCTCTAAATTAACTAACAGAGAGCATGATGTTAAACATGTTTTACAAAATGGCCTTAATCAACAAACATGATAAGCCACATGTTACAAAGATAAATTATCTGCAGAGTGCTCTTATATAAATTATTATTACCTCTAGCACATTGCTAATGTTATTAATCATCTCTTATCAGCATTACTTCCCTATGCTATATCACGACAAAATTCAGAATGCAATGCTTGACAGTACTGAAGCACAATACTGTACCTGTAAGAGCAATACAACATCCAAGTTTTGTATTATTTTCTTCAATGCAAGTACATTGCTGTACTAATACTGACTTAAACCATGAGATCTTACTCTGCAATACGTAGGCCTCTATAATTACTGAGTCCTGCCAGAGGGAAGCCCTTTCTCGAGTCAACGCTAAGCTTGATTCTTCTCTGATTATCCGACTTTGCTGGTAACTCTGCAGTAAAATAGGTAAACACAATTAACACTACAATCATTATCAATCAATAAATCCCTTTAAGCAATACCTGCAAAAAAAAAAAATGCAGGTATGAATATAGATCATAGATTAAATTATCTTGATGCAGTATTCCAATTCATCTAAGTTTTACTTTGATATTAAGTCAGGCAAACTTACCAATAAGTTGTATACTGTGAGGTATCTTTGTGAACGATGTAGACTTGTTCAAAGGCTGCATCTGCCTCTTGTAACACAATCCACTAAAAAATACAGTAATTATTTTCATACAGGTACTGTATAATAAATTTGCTTTTATGCTTTATATTAAACTGCACTTCTGTAATTATGGCATATGCAACAGTATCTAACACACAAGACATGATTGCTGCTAATAATTAAATTACTCTAGTTAATATATTTATTTATTGTTATAAAGAACAAAGAATAAAATTAGCCAATCCATATTAAGGAGAGATAACTTGCCTAATAAGACCTAAAGCACTGTTTTCTTTAATAAAGCTAGCATGAATGACACTGTAAAGCACATGATCAAACATTTAATAATTATCATTACCCCTCTTCCAACTTTTATGAGGCAGGGAATCATCTGCACAAAGAAAAAAAGCATAAGCCTTGTGACAGAAATTCTTCAGAATTTCTCTGGGGTGGGTTTTGGTGGAATACCACCAAGCTTGCCTAGTTTGCTCTCCAAAGTGTTGAAGACATGGAACTTCTACTCGAGACGGAGTCAGCTTCTGCATGGTGCCGTTCTGCACAGTGGCACAGTTTTTCTTAAATACATCACTATGTATTTATATGACCATGCGAGGATGATGCATGGTCATCCATGGTACTTTTGAAACCATCTGTGTGGTGTAATTCTGTTTTCAGTCACAGGTGTGTTCTGTGTCATATTTAGATCATGGTCCTGCAAGCCTCAGTCCTGTCAACAGCTTATAATGCTGGCACAATGAAAAATAACATGATGAATCTATTAATAAATACCGAGGCCATATAATTGGCTGCTGTTTTTAATACTGAAGCGTTGCTGCTGTCCGTCACAATTTTTGGGTGGTGAGGCATTAAGCCATTTCTGCCCTCATTCTTTGATGTGGATTTGCAGTAGTTCCTGGTCAGCCAATCTGAATCTGACCCTCATGCTCTCTTCAACCAGACATGTACGTTACAACAATGGTTGTTTTGCAGGTCACAGGGGCTTGATTGGAAGGACAATGTTTATCTGGAGAATGGTTCTGGATACACTCCATTGCTTCATCAACCAGCTGTCCTGTCTTAGGATAGTGTCTTGCCATCTTCATGCCCATCTTGACTTTTCCTAGATTCAGTGTGTAGTCATACTTTAAGTATCTGAATTTTCAGGCATTGTACCTAGTGCTGTTGACTACTGTTTGCTAGAATGGCAAGCTTCATGCTCTGCTGTATTGTCCTTAGTTTCTAAATTTTGACCATGTTATACCTATTATTTATTATCCTTCCAAGCATAGAATGAGACGTCTTTTTTTTCAGGAAGAGCCCTACACTTGTGCAAGTGTAGTTTGTGAGACCATCTATACATCATGTCCTATAGTCTGTGGCTGCTCTGCCGGGCATTTGAGCAACCTTCTGTCACACTCTTCCTTAAACCAGTGGATTTATTTCCAGCAACATGACCTGTATAAGCTTGCCATACTCAAGGCTCCTCAGACTCAGTAGTGATAGTGCTGCTTCCATCTTGTGGTTGTCCGGATAGCGAATACTGTATTTAGCATACTGTACTGTACATTACAGTTTTAACTGTTACTCTGTGTGTTTACAGTTAAATCTTGGAAAGTGTGTTGAGTTTACAATCTGTTCTATGATGTGGCAAGACCATTTGCAAAGCTGCTTGTCACTGTGGAGCATAAGCATACAAAATTGACGAGAATGTGGTATCCTGGGTAGCCCCAGGACCTGACTCACGAAGCAATCAAGGGACCCTCGGAAGAATTTCATAAACTCAGACACTATTTCTTAACTAAAAGTATTTACTACTTAAATTAATTTTGCTATCAAAATATACACAAAATAATATGCTATCATGAACACTAATAAAACCAAAAAATTATGTCCATAAAATTAATAAAGAAAAAAATAAATTATGACTTTATAATATTTATATAAATTATTCATAACTCTAAATAAGCTTAGTATATGACACAACCTTTAAATATTCAAGTTTTCCTTACCAGTATAATTTAGATCTCTCAACAAGAGCATATGACTCCCCATCACCAATAAATACTGAGCATGAGGTACATATGAAGCATTCTGGATGAAATTTGTGATCGCCTGCAACCATGACTGGACCAGTGATGATCTGAAGGAGTACAAAACAATGAAATAAGACTTGAGAGAGAGAGATCTGTAAAGGAAACAAAACAAGGAGACCAGGAGCACATGATGCATTTTAAATAATACTGTAAATAATTTGGTAAGGTTGAATAGTATACATCCCTTGTGATTAATGTCACAAGTAGTTTACTAAGTAATTATCCATGTGTAGTTACAGGATAAGAACAACACTCGTAGGATTCCATACTTTCAGTAATCTTTGATAATATGATGATTTGAAACTAGTGATAGTTTTGGCATTCACTGCCTTCTCATTTAAAGTTTTCCAACTTTCTATAACTCTCTACATCCAGGTTTGCACTTCATTAAGTATTCCTGGGAGATGTACACCGACATCCTCAACATGTATTAATAAGACTCAATATGATCTATGCATTTGTGAGTTTGTATATATTAATATGCACACAGAAATCACAATACAGTAGCATGATATATCAAATGAACAAATCCACAAGGCCCTTGTGGATTTGTTCATTTGATATACAGTATCAGGCTATTGTGCTTTCTGTGTGTACTGAAGTAAGGGCATAGCAGTAGAATATCTGGTTAACAGAGCACGGGTGCACGGGGAAATTGTGTGAAACCCCGATTGTGCTTCGGAGAAGCTTCGGGAACCTAGTTAGGGCAGTAGCACTCTAGATTGCAATTCTTTTGACCATGTCGTGGCACAGTTGACTAAGATGCATCTAGAAACATCCAGTGAGTAGGTTCGAACCCTCATCACAGCCCTTGAGGATTTGTTTATATTAACATGATACCTCAATAATTCAAATAAGAGCTGATAAGCTTTATGCATTAATACCATTGAAAAAACAAAGCCAAAGTCAACTATGCTATAACAGGAAAACATTTTATGACTTGATCAGGACCTGAAACAGATAGCAGGAGAAAAAATCTAAAGGACAAACTTAAATTTTCAGACAATATTTTCAGATAATATCCACTCAGTATCTGAATCAAGTAAACTAATCTATGAAGACAGGTTATAGGAGCCCAATCTAACAACTAAAGGAAAGAAGAGGTATATGGGATATGACTATTGCATACAAGATACTGAAGAGACATGACAAGGTGGAGAACAACAGCCTTTTTAAATAGAGAAAATATAATGAGGATATAGGCAGAAGCTGAAAATGTAGTAAGAGTCAAAACAAATATATGAAAATACTCGTACCCTGTACAGGTGGTAAACAAACGGAATGCAATGCAAGAAGTCATGGAAGCAACCTCCATCCACAACTTCAAGAACAGACACAACACAGAACTTAAACATCAAGAGAATAGAAAAATGCACTAAATACACAGGGGGTAGAAGGCTGGGCATACACAAAATAGTGTCCTGAAATGTAGGCTCGTTCTTGATTTTTTCTCTCCTTATTATTTTCTGTAAATTAAAGACTTCTTTGCCATCCTAATTAATATATAAATGCTGTACCTGTATATATAAAATAATAAGTAAATACAGTGGTACCTCGCATAACGAATTTAATCCGTTCCATGTTCGTCATGTGAAACGGACGTCATACAAAACGAGTGTCCCCCCATGTAACCAGTGTGATGCACTGTGTTTATTGTGAAATTCCCCCAGAGTGCATGACATCAAATGTTCCCCAAAATATAATTTTTCTTTGCATAATGATAAATTACCGTCCCTGAACATGTCTATGTAAAAATAATTACCAAATTCCACTTACTTTGACTGTGAGGGCATGGACAAGGTGCGCTGTGACGTCATCAGGGGCTGGTGGCCCGTGTGTGAAGCTCCCAGACATGGTCGCGCAGGCCATTCAAGCACCGCGTGTTGCCACAAATATATTTTCAAATATTTTTTCTATGCATTTCCAATGCGGTTTTATTTGTTTCTTTTATCGTATATGATGCATATTTGTGACCTTTACAATATGTATACAGTAGAATGTTCATAATTTTCCATGGAACTGTGATACATGTGTCAGTAATGTGTCTACAATAAATGTTTATTGTCACAATATTACGTGGTAAAAATTCACTAAAATTACAATATGTATAGTTTCACATACTATTTACACAGTAACACACTGTATTACACACTCAGTACTTTGGAGGTGCGTAATACGTAATAGTCAACGAAGTAGTCCATGGTACACACCGTGACTTTGCTCTCCTTGCACCAGCTACAGATAGATTTTCGATCCTGTTTCATCGTTCTGCGTGCTTGCAAATAACACACTCGTGTGCACCCTTGGCTTTAGTACTTGTAGGTGGTATGTAGCCAAGCTTGTAAAGCATAAGGTAGTATTGAAACGATTATAGGAAAAACTCAATTTGTAAGGTAGTCTTGAAAAGATCGCTTTGTAAGGTCCCACACAGGAAGAGATTCAGCTAGCCTCAAAGAGTGTCCATCAGTCACGAAGAGATTCAGGTATTCTTGAAAATATCAATGAACAACACCACCATGGAAGCCGCTAACACTTCATCTATGCTACTTGTATCAGATGCATCATCACTGAACGCAGAAAACGATTCATATATGTATCATCTATATAAATTCGAGATGGCAAGGGTGGGGCTCAGAGCTACACCTGGATACGCTCGCTGTATCATCCTCATAGGTGCTGTATCACTGGCATCCGACTGTTGTGTTAAGCCCTTATTGCGCCTAGCTTCACCAATGTTATGACCCTTATGTTCTTCAAACAATAGGGTCTGAATTGCACCGACTGAGCGCAGTCTTTCAACACCGTGTGGGACAGGTGTTTGAGAGCCAGAGGCACGTGTGCTACAAATGGTTGTTCACGCAGTACTAACCCAGCCAGCAGCCCTAGTCTTTCATATTCGTTATAGCAAAAGGTTCGTTCAGTGTTTGTTGGGTAGGCTGCTCCATTATGACAATCTTTCTTTGTTTCAAATGTGTTCCATTTGTTTTGTATTTGTCACTTACGTCTCAATAATGGAGCAGCCTACCCGACAAACACTAAACGAACCTTTATGGCATTTGTCCATTTTTCAAATTGTTTCAACAGTTCTTTTATTTTTCGTTTTTTTTTTATTTAAGAAACATGGAGCAGCCGACCTGTAGACCACCGAACGAACCTTTTTGACATTTGTACTGATTTTCAAAATTCTTCATTTTTTTTATTATTTATGTTTTTTGTATGTAAGAAACATGGAGCAGCCTACCTGCCGAACACCGAACGAACCTTTTTGACATTTGTTGTATATCAGACATTTTATTTCTTTTTTCCTACAAAAACGTCAATGCTTTGCAACATCTCAGCAGTCACCCTTTTATATCCCAGCATCATTAGCATCTTTAAACAAGAACAACATAATTTATGTGCATCCTCGGAGGCGTCTAAGAATGTGCAAGAAGCAGCGCGCCCCCACCACGTTACTCAAACCAGCGTTTGTCATGCGGGACGATTTGACGCCGATCGGGCCGTTCGTTACCCAAAATGTTCGTCTTTTGGGGCGATCGTTATGCGAGGTACCACTGTACTTGACTATCATAAAAGCTATGAACGATGAATCACATTCACATACCTGACCACAATCTTGACAGGCTTCCCCATACTTCTTCCAATAATCATTTTTACAAAAAAGTAAACCATCCTTCTCAAAGTACCAGCTGCTGAGAGTTACATCACAAGCACTACATCTGAAATAACAAATGCAAGAATAAGTATTCGAAAGAAAGAAATATTATGAAAGGCTCTCTTGGGAGCAATATTCTATTGGACCCATTGGACAAGATCATGAAAATCCAAGGAAGGTTAACATTTTTGTGTCGACACAACAGGGAACCTTTCATATGTTCCTGCTGGGTCATAATACAACCCGTCCTCACAGTAGGCTGTTTAAAGCAGTGACCATCCTTCCCAGATGCATTCATCAATTTTAACATACTGTGTATTAAAAATTGGTTTGTATTCATATATAAATTAATATTAATACATAAAAATGCTATGTACTTAGGCATAGGTTAGGTTAGGTGTTTAGGTTCTGTTGGTGATTATTTGTATTTGAAGTACGTGGGTGAAGCATTTATAAAATTGTGGTTCGAATAGAAGACGTGTGCAAAGCACTTGTTCCGGAAGTGTTCGGACGTCATCAGTTGTGAGCCATGTAAACCGCTTTTTCATTCATAAACATGGGGTTTGGCAGCTGGATTAATGAGCTTGGATCTTTGTATGCGAGGACGGGCTGCGTGATAGTATTATGGGAAACACTGGAGAAGATTCACCCCCATCTGATACAAGTTCCAGAAGGCTCATTCATTTCAACTCGCAGCTCAACTACTCATCATAGGGCCCACAAGTAGTGCTCTCACCAATAGCCAGTTAGCCTGCCAGGTTGCTACCCCTGACTACCAACAGGTGGCAATACAAAAACTACAACAGGGTTCACTGGCACAAGCTTCCCCCTCATAGTTCCTGATACAAAGAAAACTGCATATTTGGAAAGCAGAGATGCAAAAGAAAAGAACAAGAGCAACTGAGTAAAATCTTCATAAAAAAGCACTTCATTAAATTCAAAGCCTTTTCTGGCAGGGCCTGTAGCTACTGCCTGCATAGCTCTACGCATATCACATCAGACCATTGAGTCAAACAGCCTACAGGAGATCAGAAGTCAAAGCCTGGTCCACTCAAAGAGGCACAAAGAGTAGGGAATACTAGATCCCTCAAAACTCCTCAAAACTGAGAGAATAAGACACCAGAAAGATAGACTTAAAGAAGTTAGACAACTGCAAGGAAAATATGAACAACTCTGACAACTACAAATACAGTACTGTAGTTAGGGTGTCCCCCTAACCCCCACTAGTTACACACCCCTACCACCACAAGGCAATCCAGGGAGCTAATGATCGAGCCAACTAGGGTCAACCCATCTGTCATGTAGAGCGAACTTGTTTGCTCGTGCTCTTGTTTTACCTCCTGCCCTTTGGATTTGGGTTTTTCCAGAAATCAAGCATTAAATATAATGCAATGCCTCTTTTGTTTTACCCTTCTGGTGGCATATTTTCTGTTTTGGGTGGTAAAGTATCCCCTGCACCTTGTGCCTCTTTGCATAGACCAAACTTTGGTCTCTGGTAGGCTTTTATGACTTGCAAGGGCCTGGTGTGACATGTAGCGCTATCCAGAAGGTACCTACGGGGAAAGCACCAAGACACACGCCAAAAACAGGCACTTCATGTTCAACGCTGGATTTTTCTGGGCTATTCTATTTACTTGCTATTTAAGACAAAAATAAAAAGCTGAAGGCAAAGGAGAAGCAAAGAGGCAGGAAGCATCCAGAGACCAAAGCACCAAGATCAGTGATGGGAATAATGGCTGTGCAGGTTTATAGCATATACTCTACCTAATTCTCAATTTCAAGGATTTTTTAATGTTCAATTTCTGTGCTAATGGAGACTACTAATTAGCTATCCTTTGTCAAATCTCTACTGATTAAAATTACTTGTCAATTTATTATAATTATTGCTGGACCTTCTTGTGATCCCAGAGCATAAACCCTGGGTTCAGCCAAAGTGTGTACCTAGTTCCCAAAACACTTTTCCATCACTGACCAAGACCCCTGCTTGAAGACAAGATGATCAGCAAGAGACAAACCAACCAAGCACAAAACACTGGCCTGCAGTGGAAAAGATAATGGTCCATGAACTACAGTTTGACTTTCAAGAGCCAAGAGCTCAGATGTCAGGGTTGGACATTGCCGAGAAGGATACCTTGTATGTGAGACACATCTACAGTTCTTCTGCTCGAGGGTACACCTTTAGCTGGCTTGATTACAATACTCTGCAAAACACCTGGAAGATACAGGCATTAATACCGTACATGGAATTGTACAAATGAATTGTACTTAATTGGAAGACATAAAAAGAGAAGACACTGTTGTAAAGGAACACCTAAGGGTAAGAGTGCAATGTATACAAGAGCATATGAACCAGAATAGAGCCGAGATACATGTCTACTTCTTAGTAGAAAAAACTGGAGCTATACAAAGATTTTCAAAACTAGAGATAAAAGAAATGTTTCTGGTGGGTAAAGAACCTAATTACATTGCTCGTTCAAGTGCACCCCTTAAAATATGCTACAATGAGATGTTGTAGTACTGGAATTAGAGAACCCAGACACCTGGCTGCCAGAAGACTGCACGTTGAAAAGGACTAGGGACATACAGGGCACAATTCTGCAAGGCCAAGAACTCCCATGCCAATACAACACTAAAATTGGGAAATCTGACTAATAATTCGAGAACCTGAGACCAACAGACCAGCTTCCAGTTTGTCAGGGAAAATAAGGCACAAGATGCCTGATCTCCATCTACCCAGAGCTGGGTACTGTGCCATCCTATCTGTTGTGATGTTGGTACTAGGACCTGGTCGCAGTTGGCATAATAGGCCAACTGGTCATTAGCGAATGCACTACTTTGCGGTCCATGTGATGGGAGGGGCTTTGAGTATTTGTGAATTAACCTTACAGAGGTCATTTTGGACTAGAATGAATGAATGAATGAATGAATGAATGAATGTTCTCCAGTGCTTTTCTAGTATCATCATGACCTAGTAGTAACATATACAACCCTTACAACCTACTGTAATGTTGTACCACTCACACTCTTCTCTGATAACTCTTGCCTCAGAGTACTATCCACCATATATTCATGCAAGATCATGGTTTACAGTTACTGTACATCAAACACAGACCCAAAACAAAACTTGGAGCAATGTCCTGAACATATCCTCATATTCTGGAGCACACCATTAAATATAAACAAATTAATCATATGGATTACAGTATAATTAATATACGGTACCTATATACAGTATTCATCAATATAAAAAATAAGAGAAAACTGAACAAATAACAATAGTCTGTCAAATTTATATTACTGTACTCGGTGATCTTTAAATTTCAATAGGCTACATTTTTTCCATTACAAAGTCACAGAAATCCTACCTAAAACAATCAGTATGCCAATCTTGCCCGAGTGCTGAGAAGAACTCGTCTTCGTCGATGACGTTCATGCATCCAGCACATACTGTTGTCTCCTCGTTACTCTCATCTAAAACAAAATTAGTTATAAACTTTATTTTGTAACTCTTAGAGACCAATAAGACGTGGGACAACAACTTAAGTAAATATTCTTGCTCAAGTTATAACAGCAAGCAAGACTCAAGGTATAAAAAAAGTTTACATTACATTTGTAGTGTACATACTGAAGACCTCTAAGTAGTGGTTAAGGTTTTAAATGAGACATGACTCACACCTATATAGACTGCAGCATGAGAAAATATGAATCCATCTGATAAAACAAAAATTGATTGGTTTGAGATTGTAGACACAGATAAGTGGTTATGAAAAGAGTGGGCCCTGAGGGTAGAGGTCGTGGGGCCCCGAGGGCAGAGGTCGTGGGGCCCCGAGGGCAGAGGTCGTGGGGCCCCGAGGGCAGAGGTCGTGGGGCCCCGAGGGCAGAGGTCGTGGGGCCCCGAGGGCAGAGGTCGTGGGGCCCCGAGGACAGAGGTCGTGGGTCCCCGAGGACAGAGGTCGTGGGGCCCCGAAGACAGAGGTCGTGGGGCCCCGAGGACAGAGGTCGTGGGGCCCCGAGGACAGAGGTCGTGGGGCCCCGAGGACAGAGGTCGTGGGGCCCCGAGGACAGAGGTCGTGGGGCCCCGAGGACAGAGGTCGTGGGGCCCCGAGGACAGAGGTCGTGGGGCCCCGAGGACAGAGGTCGTGGGGCCCCGAGGACAGAGGTCGTGGGGCCCCAAGGGCAAAGGTTATGGTAGGAGGAAAGGGGGCAGAGATAAAGTTGAAAACTCTGGAGTCACAAGGTAATAACATGACCACATGAGTAAGAAGGGATGAGACGCGTGCGTCAGCCCCACACGACACCAGCTTGGAGGTTAGAGGCATCAAGTGAGAGGGTTATGGGGGCGGAGGTGAAGGCTCAAGACTCCATTGGCCATCCTTAATCCCAGAACCAATAAATTGAACTGATTTAGTCTGTTACACGCACAGCTGGAAGGTAAGGTATTAAGACATGCTATTATCACACATGAAGTGCATGTAACGACAAATGAAAGAGAAAACAATATATTAGTTTACCATGTGAAGTGGCTTCTTCTTCTTCCATGTTTTTGCAATGGTTGTGACACTGAAGAAGCTACATCCTGCTGCTTCATACCTACGCCATTATATCATTTATATCGTTTTCACAATAATGCATTTACAATTTGAAATATAGAAATTAATATATTTAATGATAAAAGTTACATTTATTAATAATAACGAAGCTGCCACAAAATGAATTCTCGCATTGAATTCAGAAATGAACGATAAATAGTCATTGTTTTGAAAATCAAAGTAAATTATTTTTCAGCATTATTTTTACAGTTTTGTAGACCAGAGAAGAGAAGAGGGAAGAGTAGAGTAGTGTGTTAAGGAGAGGAAAATGTCTTGGAAAGTGGGAGAGTATCACCGCCCTGACACAGCCTCCGACTGTAAACACTGAGTGTGACACTGCATCACCACCAGGACTGACTCGGTGCCACCCGTGCAGGCATCACCACCAGGACTGACTCGGTGCCACCCGTGCAGGCATCACCACCAGGACTGACTCGGTGCCACCCGTGCAGGCATCACCAGCAGGACTGACTCGGTGCCACCCGTGCAGGCATAACCAGCAGGACTGACTCGGTGCCACCCGTGCAGGCATCACCACCAGGACTGACTCGGTGCCACCCGTGCAGGCATCACCACCAGGACTGACTCGGTGCCACCCGTGCAGGCATCACCACCAGGACTGACTCGGTGCCACCCGTGCAGGCATCACCACCAGGACTGACTCGGTGCCACCCGTGCAGGCATCACCAGCAGGACTGACTCGGTGCCACCCGTGCAGGCATCACCACCAGGACTGACTCGGTGCCACCCGTGCAGGCATCACCACCAGGACTGACTCGGTGCCACCCGTGCAGGCATCACCAGCAGGACTGACTCGGTGCCACCCGTGCAGGCATCACCAGCAGGACTGACTCGGTGCCACCCGTGCAGGCATCACCAGCAGGACTGACTCGGTGCCACCCGTGCAGGCATCACCGGCAGGACTGACTCGGTGCCACCCGTGCAGGCATCACCGGCAGGACTGACTCGGTGCCACCCGTGCAGGCATCACCGGCAGGACTGACTCGGTGCCACCCGTGCAGGCATCACCGGCAGGACTGACTCGGTGCCACCCGTGCAGGCATCACCGGCAGGACTGACTCGGTGCCACCCGTGCAGGCATCACCGGCAGGACTGACTCGGTGCCACCCGTGCAGGCATCACCGGCAGGACTGACTCGGTGCCACCCGTGCAGGCATCACCGGCAGGACTGACTCGGTGCCACCCGTGCAGGCATCACCGGCAGGACTGACTCGGTGCCACCCGTGCAGGCATCACCAGCAGGACTGACTCGGTGCCACCCGTGCAGGCATCACCGGTAGGACTGACTCGGTGCCACCCGTGCAGGCATCACCAGCAGGACTGACTCGGTGCCACCCGTGCAGGCATCACCGGCAGGACTGACTCGGTGCCACCCGTGCAGGCATCACCAGCAGGACTGACTCGGTGCCACCCGTGCAAGCATCACCGGTAGGATTGACTCGGTGCCACCCGTGTAGGCATCACCAGCAGGACTGACTCGGTGCCACCCGTGCAGGCATCACCAGCAGGACTGACTCGGTGCCACCCGTGCAGGCATCACCAGCAGGACTGACTCGGTGCCACCCGTGCAGGCATCACCAGCAGGATTGACACTGCCGCCCATACAGGCATCACCAACTAACCCGTCCTCACACTAGGCTGTTTAAGGCAGCAGCCATCGTCCCCAGACCAGCCTGTCCTCCAAACGAAGATCTAAACGTGATTCCATGCACCCGCCAAACCCCCTGTTTATGAATGAAAAACAGTTTACACACGTCCGCAACCCGTCCTCGACTCAAGTCCATTACATCCAGCGGTCGCCCCCACAGACGCATTCATAAATTTTAACATGCTGTTCATTCAGAACAAGAATTTTCTCAAATATAAATTAATATTATAATATATTAGCATATTGTGCATATATAGGCATAGGTTAGGTGTTTAGGTTCGGTTGGCGATTATTTGTATGTGTAGTACGTGGGTGAAGCATTTATAGCGTTGTGATTCGAACAAAATTCGTCAGTGAAGCACTTGTTCCGGATATGTTCGAACGTCAGCAGTTGTGAGTCGTGTGTAAACCGTTTTTCATTCATAAACAGGGGGTTTGCCGGATGCATGGAATAACTTTTGGATCTTTGTTTGGAGGACGGGCTGCGACTTGCCAGCCCGTCCTCCAAACAAAGTTCCAAAAGTGATTCCATGCACCCGCCAAACCCCCTGTTTATGAATGAAAAGCGGTTTACACACGACTCACAACTGCTGACGTTCGAACATATCCGGAACAAGTGCTTCACTGACGAATTTTGTTCGAATCACAACACTATAAATGCTTCACCCACGTACTACAAATACAAATAATCGCCAACAGAACCTAAACACCTAACCTAACCTATCCTATGCCTATATATACACAATATGCTAATATATTATAATATTAATTTATACTTGCGAAAATTCCCGTTTTGAATGAACAGCATGTTAAAATTTATGAATGCGTCTGTGGGGTCGACCGCTGGATGTAATGGACTTGAGTCGAGGACGGGTTGGACTCGCAACTGATTTCGTTCGAACAATTCCGGAACAAGTGCTTCACTGACGAATTTTGTTCGAACCACAGTGCTGTAAATGCTTCACCCACGTACTACAAATACCAGCCCGTTCTCCAAACAAAGACCTAAAAGTGATTCCATGCACCTGCCAAACCCTGTTTATGAATGAAAAACAGTTTACACACGACTCACAACTGATTTCGTTCGAACACTTCCGGAGCAAGTGCTTCACTAACGAATTTTGTTCCAACCACAACGCTATGCTTCACCCACGTACTACAAATACAAATAATCGCCAACAGAACCTAAACACCTAATCTAACCTAACCTAACCTATGCCTATATATGCACAATATGCAAATATATTATCATTGATTTATATTTGAGAAAATTCCCGTTTGCAATGAACAGCATGTTAAAATTTATGAATGCGTCTGTGTGGTCGACCGCTGGATGTAATGAACTTTAGTAGAGGACGGGTTGGGAATCACTTTTGTGTCTTCGTTTAGAGGACGGGCTGCTGATGCATTCAATTGCCTGGACCTAACATAACCCAGGACCCATGAATAGAAAACAGAACATCACGTCAATTTTGCGAGGCGCTACGATTTTTAGTACATCAGTTTTTGGCCTTATGGGATTTATACATCAAAATGCTATGAACAGTACTATTACTGTCACCTGTACAGGCTTCACCAGCAAGAGACTCTCACTGCCCCTGTACAAGTATTACTAGTAGAAAACTATGCCAACATTACCAGCAGGAGGCAATGCCACCTATGCAGGTATTATCAACAGGAGGTTGCACCAATGCAGCGATCATTAGTAGATTGCCACCCATGTAGCCATCACCAGCAGAAGGCACTCACTGCAATCCGTGCAAAGTGATGCTAGTGATGTCATCCGTGCATCACCAGCAGGAAACAGTACCAACTGCACAAGCCTCACCAGCAGGAAACAGTACCAATTGTGCAAGCCTCACCAGCAGAAGACAGTACCAATTGTACAAGCATCACCAGCAGAAGACAGTACCAATTGTGCAAGCATCACCAACAGGAGACAGCACCATCTGTGCATGCAACACCAACAGGAGACAGTACCATCTGTGCAAACATCGCCAGCAGGAGGCAATATTCCATCCATGCTGGCATAGCCAGAAGATACTGATTCCGATGCAAACATAATCAGCCTAGATATACTTGCTGCCATCTGTGCAGTAATCACCACCAAGAGACATAACCACTTTTGCAAGCGTCTCTGACAGGAGGCATTCACTCCCGCCCGTGTACCAACCACTTAGGTTAAAATTTACCCGAAGGCCAATATCTCACAAGTGGCCTCGACGAGGACAGGAAGCCGGCGGCTTATCAAATGTCCCCACATTGTTCCTAATGATTTTAAAATTCAGCAGTGTTAAAACACATTTCATTTACGGCTTCAGCGAGTTTCTGGTTTATAGCCCTGTGGGTGATAAAAACAGCTTATGTTTTCTATCCTACATTGTGGCATGTTTAACTTGAAACCGTTGCTCTTTGTTTTACATCTGACCTTTTGAAGCTGTCCATAAAGCTAAATGCGGGCGGGGTAGCAGAGAGGTTGTATCGTCTTGTGAGAGCAGAAACTAGACGTGTCGACTGTTACCGGGTGAATGTCAATGGTGTTGAAGTTTCGAAGTATATACAGAGCGTTTGTCACTGAACCACTGTTGCAGTTAGACTGAAGCAGCTCCGTCCTTGACGGCTTATATTAGCGCTTCACTTGATTAGGCCATAAGTTGACCATAATTTTGCTGGTCACTTTTCAGAGGTCCTGAGTGATTCCTGGAACTCTTGGGAAGAAGTATCAGTTGTAATTAGTGCTCATTCAAGTTCAAGTATGTTTATTGAGACAAGAAAAAAAAATACATCTCAAAGGGGTAGAGTAGCTTAGGCTATTTCTACTCCTCCCTGGTTAGTGCACATGGGATTAGTGTAGAACTAGGAATGTGGTGTTCTTAGGGATAAGTTATGTGGAATTAACTTGCTAATCGCTAATCTGTCCCTATCTTACATACGGTATCTGTGCGTGGGGTTCAACTACTGCAAATTACATCAAACCCATCATCACCCAGCAAAAATCCGCTATCAGAACTATAACAAACTGTCCTCAGACAACACTCATCCCCTCTGTTTAAATCCCTAAATATGATAAACATACACTCATTCCACACATTCTCTTGTGCTATTTACATGTACAAAATCTTGTTCCTACTTGCTAATCCTGATCTGAAACTTTTCCTCTGTAGATGTAAGGGAACCCAAGAGCACCACACCAGAAATAAATCTCTTTGATATCCAGTCACACTAAATCTGTGCAAACACTTTATGCAAATAAAAGGGCCCAGTCAATGGAACTCACTCCCTAATGAATTACAAAATTGTCCAACCTATGATTTATTCAAATATAAAAACCAAAAAGTACCTAATTTCATCCTCATAGTTTCTTTGTGCTTCTAACTCACACTTTATCTTGTGCTACCCACTCCAATATTAGTACTGAAGACATGCATCTTTACTGCCCGAAACGCTATGCGTGTCAGTGGCTTTACAAGAATGTAAGAACACCAATGTTATGTACTCTCACAAACCCAGTGTACCTTCTTGTATATAAATACAGTAAATAAATAAATGTTTCTTTGTTATTATTAGATTTCTAAGGTTAGAGTTGAATTCAGCAACATCTGTGCTAATAATTCTGTACATTGCTCCCAGTTAAAAAAAATCATTGTTACACACAGAAATCACAGTAGCATGATGCATCAAATGAACAAATTGTGGACAATGGATGAGGGGAGTTGCATGCATATTCAAATTCAAATGTTTATTCGGGTAATTTATACAGCCAGGTTGTTGCCTTGGTAAAGGATGAGGCTCTAGAAAGACTTTTTGTGCAAGGGCTAGGCTACAGGAAAGTTGCAAAATATATTGAGGAGCCCATATTATGCATGAAGTGTTCTCGTTGGGGACATTTGGCTTGGAAATGCCAGTTTGACCCCAGGTATCGGTATTGGGGTAAGAAACACGACCTGCGAGAGTGTAGAGTCAAGATTGAAAAAGGTGAAAAATTCGTCCCATCTTGTTGCAATTGTCGAGGCAGCCACAATGCTGGTTCCGATCTATGCCCCATGAAGCCTCATCTGAGAGACTCCAAGACGGGTCCTACAAGCAGGATATAGATGTATCCTAAACAAATCCAAAAGGCCGTAACGAGGATTCGAACCTTTGTCCGAGAGCATCCCAGACGCTGCCTTTTTGTTCATTTGATGCATCTCGCTATTGTGATTTCTGTGTATAGATGTATCCTCGAAGGAAAAGATTGTACAGTAGGAACATAGAGGAAACAGCCGGAAGCCAACGACAGCCCCTATGAACAATGTGTGGGAGAAAGGAACGGAAGCAATTAAGACTAGGGAAAGTAGATAATGCAGTTGAACAAATGAAATCTTGTGGAGATAAGGTTCAGGACACTATAGTGAAGTCGGAAGTTGGTACTCAAATATTGGAATATCTAAAGAAAATTAGACAAGATGATTGAGGCATTAGAAAAATTAGCTATGGGGAGTAGACGGGGTGAAGATGGTGGTGAAACAGGACGTGAAATGAAAAGTGAAACGTGCGTAGAAGAAAGTAAGGAAGAGCATGACGTATCGATGATTGAGGATAGTTAGGAAAATGCCCTTTCTAGTAGTGTTAGCGGTGACTACTAGTGATTTCTCGCTACCTTCTGTAGTGACAAATGTTGAAACAAATGTATAACGGAATACAGAAATAAAAAAGAAAATAGATTATTACCTTCGATGTTAGTAATTGTTGTGCAAGTGAGGAGAAAGCAAAAATGTTAGTGTTGGGAGGAAGTCTATAAGGTACTCTCGTATCGCATGGAATGTGACGGATAGGGCAAAGGTAGTTTTATTATTAATCATGTATGAAAGTAGAGTGCGGATATATATAAATATTTAGGCATATATGTTGGATATACCCCATGAGAGTTTGGATGCTGAGATGAACAGACTGTTGGATCAATGTCGGAAGAGATTACAACCTCTGAAGGCCTTGCATGCTGTGGAAAGGGAGTGGGAGTCCCTGTGCTACGAATGATATTCTTGAGTACTGTAAGATCCCTTATTGATTATGCTGCATCTGTCATTTCTTGTTTTGGTAAAGGTAGGATGGGCAAGTTGGAGAAGGTACAAAATGAAGCCATGAGAATTATCTTAGGCTGCCCAAGAAATGCTGTGATTGAGATAATGAGGATTGAGTTGAATCTGAAGAGCATTGGGGATAGAATTTCAGAGATAATTTATATGTAGCCTCTGCCATTAGATTAATGAGAGGTGGGGGAGCTAATGAATTAATCCTCTCAGTTCAAAAGGTGGGAAGTAATGAACAATGATAAAGAAGAGAACATATATGAGTATCTTATGTTCTAATGTTATAAAGTATGATGTTATTACATAATGTATTGCTCTGCCTTAGAGACAATTCACACCACCGTGGGAGGATTGTAATGTAGATGTAGTAATTAATCCCTTGCAAAAGAAAAAAAGTATGTATGAGATAGGAGAGCTAAGGTCAACATATGATTGTATAATTAGAAAATTACCTACAGAAAACACTCTACATGTATATTGCGATGGGTCAGTAGCTAGGGATGGTAAGGCAGGATGTGGAGTCTTGATCAGGGAGTAAACTGACATCGGCACTGTAGATACTATTATTGGACGCCGCTTAACTGACTATGTCTCTGCAGGATGAACTCCAAGATGTATTAGCAGGATTACAGGAAGTAGTCAAATGTGGTAAAAAGGCCTTTATTGACAGTAGAGGAGCGTTGGAGTCTTTAAATAGCAGACGACCCGTTTACTAGAATATTGTGATAGAGAGTAGAGAGAATGTTAAGAAATTAAAAAAAAAAATGGATATAAAGTAAGATTCATGTGGATTCCTGCACGTGTGGGAATACTGTTGAATGGGGTAGTTGATGAGATAGCGAAGAGAGCCACTGAAAAAAAAACTCTTGTTGATGTTGTATGTCAGATAAATTTGAAACAAATAAAAACAAGAAACAAGATGATCCAAGTTGGTGACGAAATGGTAAAGAGAATGGAAAATAGTGCATAATTCTTACGTAACACACGTAAGAATTATGCAATAATAAATACAAATTCGTTCTTCACCTATGGTAGGGGAAAGTGTACTTGGAAGGATTCAATTTACATGTGATTAAGATTAGGATACAAATATATCTGGCAATACGGTGTTGATGTCAGTGAAAAAGATAATGAGTGTAAATTATGTAGTATGCCGCACGCCCTCACCTTAGAACATTATGTATTAGTGTCAAATTATTGAAAATGGTATGATAGACAGAATACTTAGGAGCTACAAGAATTTTGCCCGAAGAGTTTTTGCCCCAATTTTGCACTTATATGCTGTTCTTCCTATATTAACCTGTAATGTTAAATGGGATTCTTGTATTGTGATTTGTGTATTTGTACTCACTGAATTTGTGCGCCCCTTGAGGGACTTGAAGTAGAAGGGGATAGAAATAGCCTGAACTACTCTATCTCTTTGAGGTGTATTTTTGTCTTGTCTCAATAAACATACTTTGATCTGTAACCTTCCTCTTGAGATGATTTCGGGGCTTTAGTGTCCCCGCGGCCCGGTCCTCTACCCCCAGGAAGCAGCCCGTGACAGCTGACTAACATCCAGGTACCTAATTTTACTGCTAGGTAACAGGGGCATAGGGTGAAAGAAACTCTGCCCAATTTTTCTCGCCGGCGATACGCCGGCGATCATTATCTTCAAAGACATTATCTTCAAAGTAAACTAGGGATCGAACCCGGGACCACAGGATCACAAGTCCAGCGTGCTGTCTGCTCGGCCGACCGGGCTCCATTACCTTTTCCACAACCGCCCAAGAGATGGGTATGGGGTGCATAATAAATGAACTAAACTAAACTAACACTGGCGTGAATTGGCTTCATTTCATAACTATATACCTGCTAAGTAGAAGCTTTTAGCTGTTAATAGCATTATATTGTGGTTAAATACTGACCAATTATTTGTATACGGAACGTACAAATTTTGTGTCCGAAATGGTCATGCTGCCCGAAACGCTATGCGTGCTAGTGGCTTCACAAGAATGTAAAAACATTAATGCTATGTCCTCTCATAAACCCAATGTACCTTTATTTATTTATTTATTTATTTATACAAGATGGTACATTGGGCTTATGAGAGTATAGAGCATAAAAGTTTTACATTCTTGTAAGGCCACTAACACGCATAGCGTCTCGGGCAGACCTTCTTGTATATAAATAAATAAATGGTAAAAAAAATATATATGTGTGCGCGTGATCCGTGTTCTGTACCAGCTGACTTGTATCCGGACTGTGGTCAAGCAAGAGCAGTGTACTGTGATCCACTTCCTTCAAAACCACTTCCTTCGCTTCTAAGGTACAGTTTCATCATTACTCCAGTGTAGAGTACAACAATTACAGCATGAAGCCATCATGAATGTCACACTGTTACCAAATTGGAATTTTGTGCGCTTTTAGGGAAACCTGGACGACCTGTGTCCAAAAAGCGCAGTGTCGCATGGGACTGTTGTCACTGTTGTTTTGTTTATAGATTCAGCTGCTCGGAACAAGTTCCAAGTAGCACGGGTTATGGTGAGCCCGTAGTGGACTTACCTGACACAGGAGCGAGGCTGTGCTGTTGTCACTGGTTGTAGCTCCTCTTGTATATAAGATGGTTTGCCAGACATGTTATTTAAACCTAATCTTAGCATAACTTAATCCAACCTAACCTAACAATATATTCAGTTTAAACAATTAGGAAACAAGTTAGAGTATAATCAACTAATAAGATTATGGATTTTATTGGAAAATTGTTTAGCTGTGCAAAATGAGGAACCTTGCAAACTTCTGTTTCATGAACTAAATGGACTCCAGTTTCAGGTATACTCTGACAAGGTCCAAGAGCTATGTACCAACTTCTCGACTCTCAATTTGTTATTTCCCAAATGTGCAAAATTATTAAAAACACAAATTATGGAAAATCATTAAAAATGCAAATTGGATTTTAGCTAGCTATATATATATATATATATATATCTACAAGATGCAGCCTACAATAGGTAGATAATTACTTCATAATACACTACATGGGTTATACAGTAATGTTGCAGCTTTGTGAGAATGTACCATTTAATCATCTGAGACTGATATAACCAATTTCACCATCCTCTATGTTGTTTGTATAAATATATGAATTTATTAATTAATGAGTACTGTAATAAAAAAAATTCTTCAGGCATATGGTTTAAGGTTACATCATAAAATTATTTTTATCAGGATATAATGGGATAGGTGATAGGGGATGCATCTAGGCTTAATTTATATTGATCAAGAGCCTTTATTAATGTTAAAATTATTGTAATTTCAGATGGCCAATAAAGACCGAATGCGAAGAGCTGAATTGATGATTCTAAAGAAGGAAGAAGTAGCTGTAAGAGAATTAATTGAAATGTATAGAAATAGCCTGAACAGACTCCAAGTAAGTTCTATTTATTGCAATACAAACTATTTTATTAGGATACAACCAGAAAATACATTCCAGGTGAGGTTTAAGACATTTCCCTCTACCTTCAGTATTTCAAGTTTTATGGTGATTTTTTATTTGTTTATAAATTCATACTGTAATGATACTGTATTCAGGTAACCCGACCATATCTGTTAAGTTTTGGATAGAGAACAAAAATATAACAATTATGAATACTGTAAAAGTAACTTTTCATTTGGGTAGAGAGCAAATCAGTCTTACCTGATTGCATTGCACTTTCCTGATTATCAATGCAATAGATTGCATTGATCTATTGTTTGCTATTTCACCAAGGAATAGATCAGTGCAATTGAAGCTGTGCAAGCTTTTTAACTAGTCATCATCTGACTGCAAATAGTAGGTTGTTAGGCCACACTAAAACTTCAGGGGACCAGCTGATCTTTCATAAAGCCCAGGCCATCCAAGCATACTCGGGCAAGCCAGGAACAAAAAGAGTCAGAATGTGAGTACAGTATTGCAATTAAGGCTTTCTCAGAAATGAGCATTTTAATGCTTTATTTCTGAGCAAGCCTCCTTCGATTGTTCTCCCTAAGTTAACAAAAGTCACAAGAAGGCACCAAGCAGTGAAGACTATGTAGTGATTTTTTTTTTTTTTTTTTTTTTTTATCTCTAGACAACTTCAAACTGTTGATGTAAATGTTGATGTTGACGTAAAAAGGTTTTCCAGACCATGCGATAACACAAGTCTATCTTATTCTCTCCATATATGGTACTGTATACATATCATTTCTTATTTCATCTTATTAATTTTAGTTTGATAATGAAGAGTGGTAATTGTTTAAATAACATGCAATATGAGAAAGACAGATCGCATCAATACTCTTTTTTTTCATCTTCTTTTTTTCAGCTTCACAAAGCTTCAGGAGTTTCTAAACATATTCATAATCTAACCCTCTCTTTTCTGTTTGCTTTATATTATCAGGTAGAAGAGCTAACTATAAGAAGCCAGTTGGGCCACATACAAGATGTTGAGTTAAAGTCAAGAAACAATACTCCACTAGAATCAGCAATTGAGGCCCACTCATATTCCCTCAATCATTCGCTAATAGATGCTCCCCACAACTCTGATGTGAATCAGGTTAGTTCTGTACAGTACTTTTTAGAATAAGAGAAATATGGCTTTAATCATGAGAAACAAGCAATGGGAGCTGATAAAGGCATATAAAATTAAGAGTTAAGCTGTAGAAATGGACTCCTCTCAAGATATATTGTTCTTGGGAAGATAGATAAGAGTAAATAATGATAATGCCACTGAAAGATATAGAGTACAGTCAGTAAATCTTTATGAAAGGCTATTGAGACTGAAGATAAACTAATTTAGCCTTGGACTGCTGAATTAATTACATCTTCTGTGGTGAAAACAAAAAAAATGAATGTACATATATTTTCTTTAGAAATAATTGAAGGTTACAGTATAAAGGACTGGAAAAATCCTTGCTTGTCAGGAGTGTTCACAAAGTCATACTTAGAAGCTAATTTTGTTACTTCCATATACTCACCTAATTGTGTTTACAAAGGTTGGCTCTGGTCGGCCACTTAGCTGTCAATCAACTGGTTTACAGGTTCCTGAGCTTATTGGGCTTATCATATCTACATTTGAAACTGTGTATTGAGTCTACATCCACCACATCACTGCCTAGTGCATTCTATTTGTTAACTACTGACATTGAACAAAACAATTTGTTCTAGTGTCTCTGACTCATTATTTGGATACCCTATTTCCACCTGTGCTAAATGGTCTCTTTATCTAACTTATCAGTTCCCCTGATAATTTTGAATGTGGTAATCAAGTCTCCCGTAATGCTTCTGTCTTCCAGTGATGTGAGGTTCAAGTCATGTAGTCTCTCTTTGTAACTCGTACCTCAAAGTAGTTCTGTGACTAGTCAGGTAACATACCTTTGAACATTCTCCAATTTCATCTTGTACTACGGACTCCATGCCAGAGCCACATACTCCAGGATTGCTTGGATGTATGCTTATATACAAGGTTCTGAATGATTTACACATATTTAAGCTCTATTAAATCTACATTTGAAACTGTGTAGTGGGACAGTTTGTGTGGGACTGTTAGTGACATTTTGCCATTCAGAGATAACCCCTCCCCCATCATAGTAACTTATTGTCTTTTGCCTTGGTACTCCTTTATCCAATGGAGCACCTGACCTGTTACTCCTGTCTGGTTCTGTAACTCATGCATCAGCTTCTTATGGGGTACTGTGTCAAAGACGTTTTACAGTATAAAATGCCCAGCTTTTCTGACAATCTGCCCACCCTTCTCTTTAAGTTTTGTTGCCTTGTTAAATGTGTGAGGCAAGATTTACCATCCCTAAACCTGTATTGGTGGTGTGTGTTTGAAAGTGCATTTCAAATATATACTTTAACACTGTTTACAATCATTATTTCACATAAATTATTGTATAGAGTATTGTAATCTGATCTAATCTTTTGTTTTTGTATCTTTATTGTTATTTCCCAAAGGGATACTCTGTTGTTTCCAAATTTGTGGGGCCCATATTATATATAGAGAATGATTTAGCATATTGGCTTGAAACAAAGGGTCATAGTCGAAGAAAGTGTGTCATGCTGGAGAAGAGTGGAGAACGAGGTCCCTTGAGACCATCATTCTTTCTAATTTATATTAACGACCTACTTGAAGATGTAAGCATATACAAGTATTCAACTAGTTGTGCTTGCGGGGGCTGAGCTCTGCTCTTTCGGCCCACCTCTCAACTGTTACTAACTACTACTATTTATTTTTTTCACACACACTGACCTGTAGACTTCCTCAGGCTCTGAATTGTATGCTTAGACTTCAGTTTATGGCAGTAGCACTCCCAGAGTATACTTTTTATTTTTAAGAAGCTCAATAGCAGAGATGACTTATCATTATCCTACACACCCAACATTTACCAGTGTAACACCATTGTCACCATTACTACCACCAAAACTATCATCACCATCACTACCATCATCACTGTCACTTCCACTACAGTACTACCATTTGCAATATCAGTATCATTACTGTTAGCATCATTATTGACACTACCACCATTATCATTACCACTGTTACCACCATTATTCCCACCTGTACCATCACCACCAATCTTGCAACCACAATTTCCATCAGAACTTGAACATCAAGGGATGAAACAAGCGTATAGGTATAAAAGGCTAGAAAGTTGGGCATAAAGAGCCAAATCTCGGTCCCCTGTATCCCTGTGCCCATTACATTGCTCTGTAATCACTGCACCACCTGTATTCATTACACCACACTGATGTGGATGGGTCTACATTGCCCCCCTCTCGATCAGCCAAGATCTAACCATATTTAATGTTAATTTTTATATTTGCTTTCCTATCTCTTGTGTGTTGACATCACTACCCCTTGAAGGTGAGAAGTAGGGCAGTGATGATGAGGATGATGTAGTTATCGTGCTATTATGTACGGTAGTAATAATCTTGTTCATTGTTTTACAGACGATTCTCAATAATATGTCTCGTGAAACGGGTGTACAAAATATAATCATGAATGAACTTCAAATTAACCAGAGTACTCTAAACTTGGATGCTGCACCTCTTATTCAAAGTTAGTACAGTATAGTTCTTTATTGCATTACATAATATTGTTATTTAAATTTGTTTAAATATATCGGTTATTCTTATTCCATTCATAACTCAGTAGACAGTAAATAATGCAAGAAACTTTCACACTTTTTATAGGTTTTCACTTAACACTTGCGGAACAGGAAAATGAAGGAAAATGTTTTGCAAGGTTCGACCCTCCAAAATTCATTGTTACTATGTGGGAATATTACTGTATTACAGTTGATGAGGGTGACTTTATTTAGAAGTTTGTGTATGTCCAGTATATCAACCCCTTCAAGAATTAAAGGGTTTAAATATCTGCAAAATAAATTGCATGTTAATTTGACATTTTGGTGAAGCAGTCAACACTGGTTTGTGATGATAAATTAGTGTGTGGCAAGACTGAGAATTGCCTCAGAACAGTGATATAGTGTAAGTGTATATATTGAGGGTTAAGTATGGCAGGTTTGGGTACAGGTAGGGCTTGATTAATAGGAAAGTTAAAAAAAAGAGGCTATTGTCATAGCCCTAATTTTCTATTATATCTTTTCAAAATAATTTGTTATGTTTATAGTTTGCACTAAAATTCTAAAAATCAAATACTGTAATGATAAATACCAGCATTTATAATGAATTGCTTAATCCAAATGGATGCTTTGGTGCAAGAGCACTGCTCTAAATCAAGATGTGATACCAGCTAAAAAAAAAAAATCCCTGATACTGTAGTACAGCACAAACGCATCTCGAAAGCAGCAAAGCTAAAATTTATTGACGTACAATTTCTTGGTTACTCTGAGAATAAGTATTTACCATCCACTTACAACTGCAGGCATGTCAAACATGAGGCCCACGGGCTGCACGTGGCCCACATTATTCACCTTTGATGTTGCCAAGGCTGAAGAAAGAACCATTAGAAATGCAATCGGATTCTACACTCAGAGCCTTCATGAAACCCAAATGTGATCCATATGGCCCTCGGGGGGACCCTCAGTTTGGCATGCCTGATTAGAGGATCTTTTAAAAATTTATGCTGTGCTTTTTCACATATTGTATTATGAAAACAACTGCACGTACTACTAATTTATGCACATAATTTTAATTTTTATGTGCATCATTCGATTAAATTTTAGCATAATTTTTTTTTTAATTATATTTTTCCTTTGGTTTTCAATGCTCTGTTTATATTTCAGGAATGCTTAATGATTCCGAGGTATACGAGGAGGACGACGACGACGATGACATGGAGACCAAATTTGAGGAGTGAGGAGGAGTACTGTACTGTAATAATAAAGTTTAACTTTCCACATTGTAAACAATATCTATTGATTCTACATAGTGTTTTTATAATTTGAATAATACTGAAACTTGTAATGCAAGTTAAGAAATCTCCATATAAAATATTCTCTCATATATATATATATATATATACACTTTGAATACTGACCTGGCTAATATCGACATCCACAATGATAATACTTTTCTGAAGTATTCGCCTTCATGGCTATATTTATAAATAGCCTCAATTCTCTACTTCCTCCTAGGAGCTCCCCATCAGGAGGATGCCACAGCTTTTCCAGGAGGTTCTTGTTATAATAATAATAATTGTTGTAATTAATAATTATTACTCTTCTTTCTGCTGGGTCATGAAAAAAGGTGGCTTCGGGTGAAAGGAGGGCTGTGACGATCTCTGTCTGGACCCCATAGGTGCGGGGCTCGCACATCCACCTCCTGGGGCTCATGCGGCCCAAGCTCTGCTTTAGGAGGCTAGTCGTTCTTGCCCTTGCTGGGGTGGTTTTTCTCTGGCACCGACCACAGTGGTCTCTGGGTTGGAGTCCCTGTGTCTTTTTTTTTTTTTTTTTTTACCAACTTCAAGGTAAAACTCCCTTGTATCAACCTACCCTGACTTTGCACTCTGGAGAGGCCACTCCAGACCGACAACCTGAGCACAACTCCATAGTCTCCTGAGACTATTAGTAGGCACCCATCAATCACACTCGCTCTCATGCATTGTTCCACTCCAAATTACTGGTTATCTGCTTCTACCATCCACCCCCCCCCTTTTTTTTAAACAATTTCCAGGGATTCTACTAACATGTACATTTCATCGTCTTGGCCCTGTCATTCATACCATATCTCTCATATCCAGTACTACAGTACTTTCACCAGCAGCTTTTCTTAATCCTTTAATATTTTTGTAACACCTACAGTCGTCATTTGCTCAAAACACCAGAACATTCTAATGACTGCAGTTGCTATTTTCAACGTGAGAGACTATAGATTGCGAGTCTGAATTTTACCCAGTACAGGTACTAGTACAGTACTCTTATAATGGCTGTCATTATTCAGTATTATAAATCCAATAATCTTATCACATCCTTGAAACTTTTATCCTTTGGAATTCCTGTGAATAAAATAAGTACTAACAATTTATATTCTTTGTATCCAGTAGAAATTGCCAGTAAGAAATAAATACAATTTAACATTGTTAAAATGAAAGCTCTTTAATATAAACCAACAAATTTACATTTTGTAAAATTGGTAATATCACAAATTATATTTCAACATTTTACAAAGTACAGTATTATCAAAGTGCAGTATTATTAAGGTTTGCTTGATTTGATTTTTAAATTTTAAAATTACCCGTAAAACATTATGCAAAATTGTTTTTTTTAATGGTCCCTTTTGAATATGATGACACAAATTTTCAACATGATTATGAGCACACAATATTTTGAAAAAGTTTGAATTAACTATCATTACAAACCCAACTTCTACTTTCACTTAATGATAAGTCATTTCCAGAGATAAGGGAAGAGCAACATACAAAAAAGTTAAAAACAAAAAATGACATTAATTCATTTCACAACTTTAAATATTCTTTGTGTGAATTCCTCCAACCCACACACCCAACTTGCATTGTATTCAGCACTTAACTGAATTCCTGCAATCAATACACAATCAAGAATCTTCTTGCGCATTTAATACTCTGTTTTCAATCGCCTTACTAACTGCACCAAACGGGTCATTTTTGTAGACTGGATCTTCTTGTATTGCCATAAACATTTGTACATCTGATATGCTGAAAGGAGTACAAATTTATTAGCATTCCAAAGCAAACTATGGTACTTTAGAAAAAATTAACAACATATATTCCTCTAGAATGCCTAAGCAATGGGGCAGTGTTTATTATTATGCTGGGACCTTATAATAAACCCAGGACAAAACATACATTTGAAATACAGTACAGCAAGAACAATGAACACTAAACCTACACATTATAGTAGTAAAAACCATGATCTTTCACTCTATCCTTGACCAAGTAAAAACTTGGGACTTTCAAATGGTCCAGGATAGACCAAAGAGGAGCAACATTTTTACTTTCTTTAATAAATGAACACTAAACTCATGTATTATACTGTCTTTGAAGACTGGCAGTTTTTACAAATTTTCACATGAATAGTGATAAAACAATAATTTTGTGCATACTCTACTGTATATATTTAATGAACAGGGTAACTAAGAACAGTCAACACTTATAACAATGAAGTCACATTTTGGGAAAACTGTGTGTTTTATTAAATGTGATTTATAAACTGAAAGATGTGAGAAAAACAGTCACATTCAAAGATATGATAAAGCTGTACATTACAAAAATGCCTTCATTTAAAATAATGTGCAGATGTTTGATGAGTGAGTGGTTCAGAATTATTGATGTGCAAGAGTGGGTGTGAGTGCATAGTACCTTTATCTATACAGGTATAGATAACGGTACTGTACTACCTTTGATAAAATTGTGAGGACTGTCTTGTAGAAAAAAATAAGTGCGTTTAATAAAACACCTTAGTCTTTTATCTCTGAACTCATTTGAGTATTTTCTTCAGCATTTTTTTTTAAATTACAGTAAAATTAAGTTAGATATTACGTGCATTTTACATACACGACTTCAAGTGCAGTAGTCAGTGCAGTCAGCTTACAACTGGAAGATCTCTCAATTCCCATACAGGACAAGACATTTGTGCACGTTTCCTTACTCCCGATGCCTCTATTCACCTAGCAGTATGTGTCTGTTAAAGTTAAGCAAGTGTTGTACAAAGTTCTATGTTGAATTATTAGAATTTTATATTTTCATTATTCCTAATTTCTAGGGGTGCACAGTGTGGCTCCATGAAACTACAGTCAGTGAAACAAAACAGATCACTGCTGGTTATAAGAAATATTGATACCTCTAAATCACCAAAAAAAAACTCTCCCAACAACGTAAACAAACAATAAAAAATTCATCGTTTATCATAAGCTCGTTCGCCCCACCTTTTTTGGTGAGATGAGGGAGGCAGACTGGGATAACTACCTACAGATAGATCTCGTATGAAAAAGAGAACAAAATATTTTAAAGAACCTGGCCCCAACCTCACAGGGGCACAAAGAGCAGGGGATTATTGTTATTACCATAGTTGAGAAAACATTCCGAAAATAAGCACAGAAATACAGACAACTGCAAAGTTCACAGAAAGTAAAGTACAGTGTAATGAAACAGCCAAATGAGTCCACAAATGATTCCCTTAGATACTAGATTTAACCCAATAGTTATGGCTGCCCACCAACAGGTGGCAGCACCACCTACTTGATGAGGGTGGGCCACCCTTCCTTCCCCAGGAAGTCAAGGATGGTTTTTTCCATCATCACAGAACTATGGGTGAAGAAGCCAGCTGACCCAGTCTGCCTCCCTGCTCCCAACAAACAAGATGGGGCAAGAAGTTCTGATTATTTGTTAACATTATTGGGAGAGTTCTTTTAGTGATTTTGAGGTATCAATATTTCTTATAACCAGCAATGGTCTGTTTTGTTTCGCTGACTTTATGGGAGCTTCCCCAGTGGTGGCAGACATGATTAAAATTCATTATTAATCATGTTCACCAAGAAAACATTTTCTTGGGGAGCCACAAGGGACTCTCCAAGAAAAGGGCAATTATTTGGAAATCTGGACTGGATCTGAAACAATGTAATCTGGATTTTGAACAGTCCAACTCTTAAATAAAATATGTGACAAGAAGACACTGAACATGAACAAAAAACAATGCTTTTAATCAGCCCCTCATTACTCAAAACATGCAACAAGTTAATATTTATGAAATGTACTATACAATTATTATTTTTGTGGTAATAATTTTTTTTAATATAGCAATAAAAATAGTAATCTACTTACAAGTCTTTTTGCCTTTCTTTCACTTTCTTAGTTCCTTTAACTTTCTTTGATGCCTGCACATCTGTTTTACTAGTGGAAGTAGCAATTAATTCTTCTAATGAGGGCAAAGCATTAAGCAAGGGATGCATATCCCCAACAATGGCAGTTTTCTCTCGCTTCTTGCGCTCCCTCTCGGCTTTTGCTGAAGCCCGGATGACGTCGATTTCTATTTGAAAATAATGACACAAATTAGTATCACTTACATTTCCCAAATTCACCTTTCCATTGGGGTGGAGAGGCAGAAGTGTAGAGGAAAATGTGAAGGGAATGTAGATAAGGAAGACCAATAACACTGTCAAATGAAACAAAATTAATACTGTAAATGGTGACTTCAGCCACAGGGAAACTAACTGGATAAAGAACCTCCATGGTGAGGATGATGTACCAGGGGGGCCAAATTAGGATGTAAGGGCAAAGGCTACTGATTTAAGAAATGAGGCCACGTTCTCACACACATTGACATGCCTTTATTTTAAGTGTATTGATCAGGACTGGATTTTTCCAAATATAATTAGACTTAAATAAGCGCGATCAAGCAAAATTATATCAATAGGAAAGGCCTGTAAAAGTACTGTACAGTGCAGTACTTTTAAAGGTGTGACTTTTTACGTAAAATAATGTAACATTTGCCAAAGAATTCAGTGTTGGCTTGGCAGCCCATGAAATTGTGTGTGCCCGAATTCACACCATAATGTATGCTGTTTAGGGTACGCACCTGTATTCATAGGTTAACCTATGCTCTTAATAATGATTTATTTTAAGCTGATCATGACTGTCCTCTTCACCACCTTTTTTCCCCCCAACTTTGCTATGTAATGCCTCTAAGAGTCCATTATATTATCAATCTTACTACTGTATAACTTACTTTGCATAAATTCCTCATGTCTCTGTCTTCTTCTTTCCTTCTTAGTACATCTACTCTGCTTATTAGAGGACACACTTGTCATACTACGCGTGTCTGATGTATCCACAGTTTTAGAGGCAGGCATGTTCTCTGTTTCCCCTAGTTTGATCTGTAAACCTGCAAACATGTTACCACTGAAAAAAATAAAATATAGCAAATTAGTTACATTTGAAAAAATATATATTAAATAGTTACAGTATTTTGTAATTTATTGAAAATATAGACTTCAATATGAGTCTGAAGAGTTATGTTACAAAAGAAACCTTTTAAAATTACACTAATTGCATCAAAAGCTACTAACGTGGAAATTTGCTAATGAAAACAGGTATATGGACAGTACTGTATACCAGTCATCTCCCTGATGAAACTCCCTGAGGATGAAACCTGAAAAATGAGCTTGTGTGATGTCAGCCACGTTATTTACGAACGCCTTTTTTCCAAAAATGCCTGTTATCCGATTTGGGTTAGTTTGGATAACTGGTGGGGCGGCAGGCAGTCTGAATAAAAATGTGCAATAAAGATGGAACTAGTTTGCCAAGTTACCATACACAGCACCACTCGAGCAGTGTTCATACACTAATGGATGGCTCGGCAGCTTTAAACTCTACCATGGCATTAGGTACATCATTGTACATAGTGAAAGGCAGTCTGCTGAGGTTACCTCATCACCATTACTCTCCACTTCAGTCAACCCAATATTAACATCATCCACCACCACCTTTTCTATCTAAATAAAAATGCTCCATCAATTATAATCTTCAAGTTAACAAGTGGATCAGAACTTCTTATATTGGTGAGTATAAACAAAACACTGACAAATTTCTGCAACAAAATTGTAAATTTTTTCCACCTAGCTTTTCAGGATGATGAACCACTTATCAGAACACAACAGGTTATCCGTTCAGTCTCAATCCCGAGAGGTTCGGAAAGCACGTGGCTGACTGTAAATGAATCCTGAAATGAACACCCAACCTTACCAGATTATTGCAAAGCAGCCCGTCCTCCAAACAAAGACCCAAAAGTGATTCCATTCACCCGCTAAACCCCCTGTTTATGAATGAAAAACAGTTTACACACGACCCACAACTGATGACGTTCGAACAGTTCCAGAACAAGTGCTTCACTGACGAATTTTGTTTGAAATGCAACACTGTAAATGCTTCACCAATGTACTACAAATAGAAATAATCACCAACAGAACCTAAACACCTAACCTAACCTATGCCTATAAATGCACAATATGCTAATATATTATAATATTAATTTATATTTGAGAAAATTCCTGTTTTGAATGAACAGCATGTTAAAATTTATGAATGCGTCTGTGGGGTTGACCACTGAATGTAATGGACTCGAGTCGAGGATGGGTTGTGCAAGACAAACTAGACATACCCACTTCCTAGTGCCTAAAATGAAGGAGGATCCTATTTAGGCATATTTTACATATTAGAACACTTAATTCTAAACCACATACCTACAGTTATTGAATGGCCTACAGTTCTATCCTAGGTTCAGCTGAAAAAAAACCTAAGCAATCAGTAGCAGCTCAAATATTAGTGTATGGATTATTGTATCAATTAAGGCTCCACCACAAGTGTGTTCATCTATAACAAACTACAGTATAGGTATAGACTAGTTATTCAAGAAATATTTGGAGGTACAGTATAGATATGCAGATATTATGATTGATATCAAGACTGCTGCTGGATGACAGGATTGCAAGGAGAATTTGCACCAGTAAAGTACATACTGTATCGCTAAGCTGGATAGATAGGGGTTAGCATGGATAAAAGGGGGCTAAACTGGATAAGAGGTCCTAAACTGCATAAAGCTTTGGAATATATAGAAAATGTATCATGAGGTGCTGATGGGAATTAAACTGGCTAGTAAAATATATTTAGGGTATGAATGTATGAAGACCTTTCTTATAGATTAAGGTTATCTCAGTGATAAATGCAAATGTCAAAGATGTCTACATATATGCAATTATGCATATATATGCCCACATACACATTTGTGCAGGCTATACATTTATTTAGCCCCTGGCAATGTAGGCAATTTAATACATCATAATTAACTAAAAGTACACATATAACAAAATGTATTTAAAAAACCCAGAATATTTGTAGTTCTGCAAGTACTGTAAAGTAGTATTAAATAAAGTTTTTGGCATGACAGCATGGACCAATAATTCTCCTTTTCTTTGTTTAATTTGTACGTACAATACTAGGTAGGTAGCCCAGTGCCTTAGCAGCATGCTCAATACTATCAGTACTTCTTATTCATACTTCTAAACAACTATTTAATTGCCTTTCTAATTGTAGCAACCTGACCAATGCATAGTTAATCATTACGAAAATCATTGGACCAGGACAGGAATCGAATCAGAATCCGGGTAGCCCCAGGATGCTAGTGTATTGAATTAACCATGCTCCCCCCTTTGAGCAGGAAAGTGTATCCCAGCAATTTCAAATTAAAGTATTGTACTGTATGCATAAACTTGCAATAAGAAATATACTATACAGATACTGTACTCATGATTTTTATCTTATCCCCTCCAAACAACTTCCAGCTTCATTAACCCTTCACTGCATGACACAACCAGGGATGTTCTCATCAATTATCCGTAAACTGCTCGACACAGTCAGGAATGTTTTAAAGTACTGTACTGCATAAGATTTAAAAACTCCTGCAGGTACATGTAGCTCAAATCTGCTTCCTGAGGCCTCCAGTAAACAGATGCCATCTTGGAAAAAAATTGAGGGCACCTCTCCTCGGTGCGAGGGCTTCAGTAGAGAGCACGACCATGAGTAGTGCCCCTGGCCATGAGTAGTGCATGCAGCAACTCAAAAGTACTGCTCTGCAGCTCATGTCCATTGCATCACTTAATGATGAAATAAGGAAGTGCAATTATTTAATGATGATAATGTCACAGATCATAGAAGTGATAAATACTATGTACAGTACTCATATCAGTGAACCCAATGCTGGTCATGATGTTCACAGCGCAAGGTAGATCCGCAGCTTAGAGTGTATGCATCATGAAACGGTACCTCATGTTCTTTTAGAAAATTAACTTGTGGAAAATTATTTATATTCAATATTTAATGGCCTAAGATTCTGATAAAAATAGTAGCATTGTGCATAGTATATTTAGAGGCACATTACTTTGTCAGGTGCCACTGCCAACTGACTGGCACTATGTTATGCTTGGATTATGAAAACACCACACCTGCTTAGTGGTGCATAAAAAATGTAGTTATATTTAATGTGTGTATACAGTGTAATAACAGCAAAGACTGTGTTTTGTAGTTCTAAGAATTTAATATTAGCAACACCAATACATTTTAGCATACCAATGTTCTACACATTTTATTATAAAAATTATTTTAATGGCAATTTCTGACCCCAGGAATTATCAGGAGAAAGCACCAAGCCATTATGACTATATAACAATTGGAAAGGATAAGGATTTGGAATAGGATGGGGGGAAAAGAATGGTGCCCAACCACTTGGTCTGAATAGTAGAGCAACAGTCTCGCTTCTTGCAGGTCGGCGTTCAATCCCCGACCTTCCAAGTGGTCGGGCACCTTTTCTTCCCCATTCCATTATGATTACATAAGGAAAACTAAACCTGTAACTTGCAGCAGTTACATGTTTAATTGTATAGTATATTGTACCTGGCAGTGGCTTCATCACTTTCAATTTTCTTAACCATAGGCACCAACTGTAAAATCCCTGGAGCAGGAAGATCATTGCTTTCTTTGCTTTTTCTTTCCTTTGCCAAACTAGTATGGAACTTCTGTCTAAGTCTTTTTACTTTACCCATGTTGAGAAAGTTTGATTAATGTAATTTCCTGAAAGGGAATAAAGAAATGTGGATTAATATTAAATTCTTGCTAAATTAATGAGCATAATTATTATAATTTTAGGGAATATACACTTAAATGAAACTTTAATAACTGAATGGAACTGCAAAAGCACACGATGAATATGTCTTCCCAACAGATACCGAAATCCAACTCCCTGGTGTAGCTGGATTATGTATCCCTTTCACCTCTGCATATGACTGATATTGGCGAGGGTTTGAACCCTTAGCATAGAAAGATAAATGGTCACCAATCCTTAACGTGACTTGTCATTGTGGTTGGTGTGGTGTGGCTTGTCACTGTGGTTGGTGTGGTGTGGGGTGGCTCATCACTGTGGTTGGTGTGGTGTGGCTCGTCACTGTTGTTGGTGTGGTGTGGTGTGGGGTGGCTCATCACTGTGGTTGGTGTGGTGTGGCTCGTCACTGTTGTTGGTGTGGTGTGGGGTGGCTCATCACTGTGGTTGGTGTGGTGTGGCTCGTCACTGTTGTTGGTGTGGTTTGGTGTGGGGTGGCTCATCACTGTGGTTGGTGTGGTGTGGCTCGTCACTGTTGTTGGTGTGGTTTGGTGTGGGGTGGCTCATCACTGTGGTTGCTGTGGTGTGGGGTGGCTTATCACTGTGGTTGGTGTGGCGTGGCTCGTCACTGTGGTTGGTGTGGTGTAGCTCGTTACTATGGTTGATGTGGTGTGGCTCGTCACTGTGGTTAGTGTGGCATGTATCACTGTATAGGTGTGGTATGGCAATGCTCATCACTGTACTCACCTAATTGTGTGTGTTATATGCAACGCTACTGTGGTTGTTGTGGTGTGGCAGGGGATGGTGTGGCGACTAGTTTGTTGTTGTTATATCAGGTTGAGGAGGATGGGATGCTGCCCGAGGCGGGTCCTGCCAGCGACTGTTGTTGTGGCAACGTGTTCTCTGGCTCACAGTGGCCACTTGAGGGACTAAAGGTGGCGAATTTGTAACTAAAGTAGCCCAATTTTGTTATTTAGCGATTGGTACGGTTTTCAGAGTAATATATGTAGAGCACAATACACAATTATAATGGTGTTATTAATATGATTCGACGAGGTTAGTTTGTTTAGTTCATTTATTATGCACCCCATACCCATCTTGTGGGCGGTAGTGGAAAGGGTTACAGAGGCACATAATGGGCTCAAGGACTGAACCCCACAATTCATTTAGCTAGGCAAGTTACAATCTTGATGAGCTAGTTACAAAATTCAATATAAGTCGTCACATCAACAATGGGTTCGAGATCGACCTCAAGTACAGGTTCTAAATTAAGCAACTGACATATGTGGGGCCAACCCCTTTTGTCATATACATCAATGACAGATGAGAATATTACAAACCATATCATCAAATTTGCAGATGACACAATGATCTATGGTAAAGTGGGAAATGAAAATGATATTGAAGCCTAACAAAGAAATCTACATGAACTCCACAAATGTTCAGTAGACTGGTAAATGCTTTTTAATATCGATAAATGCAAGACTTTGCATATGGCGAATAGCAACCCATTGCACAACTACCAAATTAATAACATTTCATTGCAGCAAATTGATGAAGAAAAGGACCTTGGAGTCAAAATCCAACATTCACTGAAAGTTGAACAACAGGTAGGAGTAACAGTCAAAAAACTTACCAAACACTTGGAATAATCAAACGTACCTTTGACTTTAAGGAAAAGCAGGTAGTGATTCAATTGTATAAATCTCTGATGCGCCCACATTTGGATTACTGTATCCACGCATGGAGACATCATCTTCAGAAGGACACTAAGAAGGACGTTCTAGAGAAAGTGCAACATCGGGCAACAAAAATCATTCCAGAGCTAAGTGAACTCTCATACCAGGAACAGTTGAGGGCCACTGGGCTAACAGCTCTGCAAACCAGACATGACAGGGCGGATCTCATCGAAGCTTTTAAAATACTGAACAATTTGGAGGATGTTAATGCGGACAACGTCTGCAAAAGGTTAGATGTAACACAAACAAGGAGCAATAGTTTCAAGCTCAACAAGTCACAGTATAGGACTTACAGGAGATGCTTTTACACCCATAGGGTTATAAAACATTGGAAAACCTACCCGCCGAAGACGTAAATGCCAAAACTGTTATATTTTAAAATCCAATTGGAAAAGATCACAGGATAAATTGGGGGACCTTTGATAAGCCGCCGGTTTCCTTCGAGGCCGCTAAAGTGTTAGTAGCCCTCGGGTAAAACAATTGCTTAATTTAGAGACTGTACTTGTGGTCGGTATCGAGCCCATTGTTAATGTGACGATGTACACTGAATTTTGTAACTAGCTCATCAAGACTATTACTTGCTTAGCTAAATGAATTTTGGGGGTTCAGTTCCTCAGTCCATTATGTGCCTCTGTAACCCTTTCCACTACCCACAGGAAGGATATGGGGTGCATAATAAATAAACTAAACTAAAACTAATTTCTTCCCACCAATTGACCTAATTGGATTAATTCATTAGCTCCCCCACCTCCCATAAGTCTAATCGCCTAAGCTACATTTTTCTCAAGAACTCTATCCCCCAATACTATGTAAGTTCAATTCCATCCTTATTATATATAAACATAAGAATGAAGGTAACTGCAGAAGGCATATTGGCCCACACGAGGCAGCTCCTACTTATATCCACCCAATCTCATTTATATATATATATCTAACCTACGCTTGAAATAATCAAGGGATCCTACTTCTATTACGTTACGCGGTCATTGGTTCCACCAATCAACAACCCTGTTACCGAACCAATATTTACCCAGGTCTTTCCTAAAACTAAACTTATCCAATTTCTTATATTATTTATATTATTATTTTTTATATTATCTTGGTTATCTTGAGATGATTTCGGGGCTTTAGTGTCCCCGCGCCCGGTCCTCGACCAGGCTTCCACCCCCAGGAAGCAGTCCGCGGCAGCTGACTAACACCCAGGTACCTATTTTACTGCTAGGTAACAGGGGGCATAGGGTGAAAGAAACTCTGCCCATTGTTTCTCGCCGGCGCCCGGGATCGAACCCGGGACCACATCTTTTTAATCAATCTTTCATGTGGCCCTGTATCAAAAACTTTGCTAAAGTCAAGGTATACAACATCACAAACCTTACCACTATCAACTGCCTCAACTATCCTGGAATAAAATGATAGCAAATTTGTTAAACATGAACGGCCATTAGTAAAATCACGTTGTGAATCATTTATTAATCTATGTTTTTCATAGTGAAGACGAATGGTATTTGCAATTATCGATTCAAACAGCTTTCCCACAATAGACGTTAAGCTATTTGGCCAATAGTTTGACGCAAGTGATCTAGCTCCTTTCTTGAAAATTGGTACCACATTAGCAACCTTCCACGACTCTAGCACTCTGCCTGACTAATGATTTATTAAATATGGTAAACAACGGCTCGCATAGCTCCTCTTTGCATTCTTTTAGCACCCTGGCAAACACTTCGTCTGGCCTTGGGGATTTATTTGGCTAGAGTTTCACTATTTGTTTAATACCATCCTTCCTGATACATTGACGTATTTACTCAGTGTTGGCTGCCATTTTATCGTCAATTATAACTTGGTTGGTCTAATCTTTTACGGGGCCTGCCGAGGCTTTTGTCTTGGGATTACTTCTTATAGGCATACAAAAAACTTGGTATATTTCTTAATGTTCTGAGGAAATTTTCTTTCATAGCTGCTTTTGGCTGATCTGATTTCCTGGGAAGGTGAATTTAATTCCCTTTTGTATATCTCATATCTCTAGGTGGTTCCTTCAGGTGGATTTGATACTTTCTCCAGAGTTTGGACATAGTAACAGATAAGAAAAGTACAATATGGTTTGGTAATTTTTATTCGATAAAAATTTACGAACACAGTACACTTTATAAAATACTATTTCACATGCGAGTGAAAATTAGTAAATTCTATTACTAATCTTTATATATATTTAACAAGAGAATCCAATGGAGTGAAATTGCTACTATGTCATTCCCAGAAAATATGTAAATCTGACTGAGAATAGTGTTAATTTTACATGCAACCATTGTTATGTATGTTAATCGCCTCGTTCGGTCAACCAGATTAAACACTGTTAGGTCTGGCCAGTAACTGGATGGGTTTCCGTAACACTAGTTAGTTTAGTTCATTTATTATGCATCCCATACTCATCTTGTGGGTGGTAGTGAAAGGGTTACAGAGGCACATAATAGGCTCAGGGACTGAACCACACAATTAATTTAGCTAAACAACTTACAATCTTGATGAGCTAGTTACAAAATTCAGCATAATTCGTCACATCAACAATGGGTTCGAGATCGACCACAAGTACAGTTTCTAAATTAAGCAACTGACATATGTGGAGAGTTAGTGTCACAATTGATATGTTTGTCCTGCACACCGCCCCCCATCCAGTGGGCAGCGGTGGATAGGTTACATTCACTTAGTTACTACCTACAGTTAGCAAACTGGGGATATTTGGCTAAAATTTTTGGTAGCAGATCATTTTGAATGAAATATTTACACATCGTTGGAACATTGGTTATAGAATTGTCTCTGAATTCACGTATCTTTTCGCGCTCCATCGCATAGTGACGGAGGGTGTGCGAATAATTTTGTTGACACAGTTTACATTTGGTCAGGTCTACATCGGCAGATAATGAGAATTCCCAGAGATACTTGTTTATTGGATGAACCATAGATGTGTGGCTCCTCTTGCATGATAGTATGATCACTGACAAGGAAATTCAGGTATTTTCTGTTCGCCATTAACTCATAATTTCGACACTTGGAAAACCCTCGGGTCTCGTAGTACAATTGGCTTCGCCATCGGCTCACAATCAGGGATCTCAGGTTGGATTCCTGGGCGGGACAGAAATGGTTGGGAACATTTCCTTTATGAAGATACAAATTAAAATTAGTTAGGTAAACAAAGACATCGGATGGAAGGAAACGTTCTCCATGACGTTTCTGTCCTCCTGCGACAATCAAACCCTGGTACAACAAAGTATAAATAGGAAATCTTGTGTTTTAGCAATAAAAACACACGGTGCAAAAATTACAATCACAAAAATAAATCGTAAACAATCGTAAAAAAATATGGCGGGCATGAGTTCTATGACCCGGGGACGCCCCAGTCCTGCTTGACGTGGTCGGCGGCCTTCTCGGCGATCATGATGGTGGCGGCGTTGGTGTTGGCGGAGACCACGAGTGGCATGATGGAGGTGTCCACCACCCGCACTCCAGACACGCCTCGCAGCCTGTGTACGACACAACAACACGCCTTCAACACCCTCCTTATCATCTCACTACACTCCAGTCGCTCTCTCTAATATCTCAACGTCTACTGAGCTCATTAGACGTTGAGATGCAAGTCTCGTCCTAACCACACACTCAGACCATATCCATATATTAAAACATTGATTGTAACCATGATATATATTTGTGCTTCAGCCTACAGTTTAGACCTATTGTCTTATGTATGATCCTCTGTCCTGTGAATACCAGTGACAGTGAATACCAGCATTATCTTCACTTTAATAAGACTATCAAATTCCTCAGATTAGGCAAAATTGTAATTAATTTTGTCAATAAAGATGTTAATAATAATAATGACAAAGTACTCAGGATGTTGTTTGCTGTTTAAGATTCGCTACCTGGAACAAAAAGTTCCAAGTAGCAAGGGCTATGGGGAGCCCTTCAGTACTCAGGAGAGTGCTAAAGACTCGGTGTAAATGCTTTACATAAATCTCACAAACACACGTGTAGGTTTTTATCCTATGTTATTATGTCTGTAAGAAGACATTACCATTACTTATTGCACCAAATATTATTTTATACCGGACTCTTCGTTCACTGATTACTAAGTCTCCCCACATGAAATCTTCTTTTACATTTATTCTAATTATAAACTATCATCTATTATCGCTTCCGCTCATGACTTCCCGCTGCTGAAGACCCCCTCAAGACCTGAGGGCGTGAAGACCCACTCATCCCAACCCGTAGCATCGTCGCAGTGTCCCACAGCAGCGACCATGACCCCAAGAGTCTCACCTGAGCCTGTGGTCGACGACGGCCAGGGGGTCCGAGGGCGGTCCCATCCTGCAGGTGCCGGCGGCGTGGTAGGCCGTGGTGGCCATGTGGCGCACGTAGCACTCCCAGTACTCGTCTGAGTACGCCTTCTCGTGCGCGCATCCACTCAGCACCTGCCGACCAATACGTGCCTTCAGAGTACCAAGTGTAGAGAGTTTCGTAGGCCAGACGATGGTCGGTACTGTGTACTTGTTATGTGCTGTCATCCACTGGTTAAGGTCGTCCAGTACTAGGTCATCAGCTGGTTAAGGTCGTCCAGTGCAACGTCATCGGCTGGTTAAGGTCGTCCAGTGTAACGTCATCGGCTGGTTAAGGTCGTCCAATGTAACGTCATCGGTTGGTTAAGGTCGTCCAATGTAACGTCATCAGCTGGTTAAGGTCATCCAATGTAACGTCATCAGCTGGTTAAGGTCGTCCAATGTAACGTCATCAGCTGGTTAAGGTCGTCCAGTGTAACGTCTTCGGCTGGTTAAGATCGTCCAGTGTAACGTCATCGGCTGATTAGGGTCATCATTGTGTTATTAGCTGAAGGGCGCGGTCGTCAAATGGACTGTCAGCCGCTGACTCTTGTCATTGTATGTGATGTCAGCTGTTGATCTAGGCTCGATGAACTGTCACAAGAATGTCAGCCAAGGGTTACGGTTGTCACAAGAACTGTCAGCCAAGGGTTACGGTTGTCACAAGAACTGTCAGCAAAAACCATAACAGTTAAAATTCCTAATAATAATAATAATAATAATAATAATAATAATAATAATAATAATAATAATAATAATAATAATAATAATAATAATAATAATATTATTATTATTATTATTATTATTATTATTATTATTATTATTGAGAGTATGTATGCGAGTGGTGTGGGCGGGGAGTTCGTGTGTGTGTGTGGGGGGGAGTTCGTGTGTGTGTGTGGGCGGGGAGTGAGTGTTGCGTGAGTGCTCACCTTATCATGAAACTTGGCTGAGTGGTCGGCGGTGAATGCTGGAGTCGCCCCGACCTTCAGCGCCAGTTTAATACCTGAAATAAAATGAATAAACTCTTAATTTAAATATAAATCTTGCCTATGAGTACAGAAAACATAAAACACCACCAAAATTATCGGCAGAAGCCTATACATAACCACACTAACCTCTGACCAAGGTGGTAACGTCATCCGGATGGCTGAAGAAGTTGAGGTTGATGAGAGGGTGATGGTGTGGGTGCGGGGAGGCGAGGGTGAGGCTGCCCCTGCTCAGAGGTCGGTTCAACACTGGCACCAGCGTGAAGCCCTCCTCGCCCAGGATGTCTCCGTAGTAGTCCTTGTACACCTGGCCACCACAGTCACAACGGGGGAAAAAATCCTAAGTGTTTGCTTACAACTCCCGTTTTATTTTAGTTTTTAATAAGTTGATTGAACTCATGAACTAGTCAACACGTGACTAGTCAACCCGCAGGGCCGAGTGAAATTATTTGCCAGACATTTTCATAATTTTTAAGGTAAAACTTTTTAACACTCCATTAAATGAATATGTTAACGACTGTGCGATTCACAACCCCCTCCGTAAAAAATTACAATATATTAGCACTTAGTTTGCTGGCAAAATATATATATATATATATATATATATATATATATATATATATATATATATATATATATATATATATATATATATATATATATATATATATATATTCGATGCATTTTTGTTTATGCATGATATGATTCTATGACACGATGACAGTCTTATGCCAAAAACTGAACGAAAAAGGAACATGAGACCTGCATTGGTTAGGACCTAAAAATAATGATCTCACCCATACCTCATCCTTGTAGCCGAGAAGCTGCGGGGCGAGGAGGCCGCGGTCCTGAGCCGGGGTACCAGTGACAAGTGCCAGCTGGATCTCAGGCCATAAGGGGTCACCAACTGCTGATGGCACCCAAGCGTTCCCCTCTGTTCCTATTGGCGATGTGACCGGACCTGTCCATAGCATATGGATCTATAAATACATGAATGTATTTTCCTCTTGGGAATTTCATTCTCATTATGAAAAGTCTAATAAGTGAAAAGATATACACCTTCAATTTATTTAAAATAATAGAAATAGAAGTTAATTGCATGTAATTGTTATTCCTGGAACTTGTTAACAAATCCTTATGAGGCAATCCCTGGTGAAGTGGTTATGGAACTGTTTACGCTAGGAGTGGGGGGGGGGGAAGGGGTGAGCCCTGGTAATGCAAATTCGAAATCGGGTCAAAGAGTTCTAATGTGATGTAAGGCCTGGAGACCATTCATTGTTTGTCTCTGTCTAAAATTGGAGTCCAGACGCATTAGGCTAGGCTTACCAATTTTCTAAGAGTAATTGCTGTTGAGTACGTGCCCAACAGGCACGTTAGCCTATTGGGCACGTTGGGCAGGGGGTTGGCGGAGAAAGAAAGAGAGCGAAAAAAAGACAATAATATTCCCAGTTAATATGTTGGTCAAATTTGTTATTTTATTTGCGTCTAAAAAAATAATTTAGCATAATTAAATTTGTTTTAAACTTGAAAATCTATTTTTTTTATTGAGTTAAAATTTATTTATATTATAGAATAACAGTTTGCAAAAAAAAGGAAGAGATTATCACTTACTTCACATAAAAGCATATGCATTAATAATTAAAACCATTCTGTCTCAGTTCTCAAAATTAAATTTTGTTATCGACTCGAAACCTATATATGCCAAACAAGCACAACACTGGCAACAGAAAATAACCATCGTCATTGACACATAAAGTTCTGATAAAATAAGCTAATAGCAAGAGTAGGAGCCAGAAGTTAAACTAGAGGTAGGTACACGATGCCACAATTCAATCATCATGACTCGCACCACCCCTCGCAGTCACCACCAACCCTGGGCGTTGCGGAGGAAGTCGTGGATGTTCTTCGGGTTGATGAGTCTTAAGAAGTTGAAGGAGGAGCCCTTTTTCACGGTCCAGACCAGGCCACCCACGGCAGGATGGTCCTGCAGGTTCTGGCCGACCCCGGCCACATCCGCCACAACCGGAATCTAAGGGAGCATCCCATAGAGGCCAACGTTGACAGCTTAATCTATAGATACGCGGCATTGTGTTTGTTAACGTCCATTGCTTAGTCAAAGGATGTATATAACTAACCAATGTACAACTAACCAACGTTATATATAACTTCCCCCCATGGCAGTGGCAATTACTCCACCGAGCGGGAAGTGTTCCAATACATATGTATAAGCTGTCCACATTTAAATATACATAAATATGCACTAATGATAAATAAATGCCTCATACTAAAAATAAAGCGCATTTGGTGTGTTGATAATTGACCATATAACAGAATATTGATTTTTTATATAAAACAAATTTCTGAACTTTGTTTCGGTACAAAATTAGGCGTAAGTTAGGTTATACCTATGTTGTAAGCTACTTATGGAAATAAATTATGGCAAAAGAGTAAGGGAATGGGTACTAACGCCATGCTGATGGAGATGTCCTGCAGGTCCTACACCTGACAGCAGTAGCAGGTGTGGGCTGCCAACAGCGCCAGCAGACAACACCACTTCCTTCAGCGCCTGTACTGTACGCACCTGTAGAACATCCACCGTCCTCTTGTATTATAATTATCTTCACAGAGAAGTACAACAGTTTGAGAGTAAACCCCCCATCAGTATGTCATGCAACTGAGACTATTTTTGGTATTTATATATAGCGAGCTCTATATATAATATAATATGTGTAATATTTAAAGAGTACATATGACTGGATGAGTATACGAATCCTTCACGAACAAAACAAAGATAACGCCTTACCTTGCCTCCCTGCTCGAAACTCACACCCACCGCTCTCTTCTCCTCGTTAAACAGTATCTGAAAACAATTAGGTATGTGAATAATTTCATTGACAAAAATGCCGAATGGAAATAATTTCTTGTGGAATATAAACTATTCTGAAGTATTCAGTGGACATATTTTCGCTGATATAGCCTCATTCAAAGTCAATTGTGTTCATATTATCCTAGCGCAAGTGAGAGAGGCAATCTCCCGATATTCTGAGGCGTTCATCTACTAACACCATCACAAATATTTGTCATATCTTGTAAAATTTCAAATATTTATTTAGCATTTATGAACTTATGCCCGATTAATTATGTAAGTGTACATTGGGGTAACAGGCAGAGATATAGATAAAAATGGACATGCAATTTGAATGTAACATTCAAACAGGGCAGCTCCTCGGTTGTAAGTCAAGGACGTAGACTACTGTGCTACAGTGTTGATCAATAATGACCTACCTCGGCATTTTTTCAGATATTTCAGAAATTCCTCGGCAGATTCAGATACCTTTCATATTTATTCCTAATATAACTAGTAATTTGAATAATACGAAAGGGCATATTAAGAGACAAAAATATATCCAGCCATCTATATTAAATATATATATATATATATATATATATATATATATATATATATATATATATATATATATATGTCGTACCTAGTAGCCAGAACGCACTTCTCAGCCTACTATGCAAGGCCCGATTTGCCTAATAAGCCAATTTTTCATGAATTAATTGTTTTTCGACTACCTAACCTACCTAACCTAACCTAACCTAACTTTTTCAGCTACCTAACCAAACCTAACCTATAAAGATAGGTTAGGTTAGGTTAGGTAGGGTTGGTTAGGTTCGGTCATATATCTACGTTAATTTTAACTCCAATAAAAAAAAATTGACCTCATACATAATGAAATGGGTAGCTTTATCATTTCGTAAGAAAAAAATTAGAAAAAATATATTAATTCAGGAAAACTTGGCTTATTAGGCAAATCGGGCCTTGAATAGTAGGCCAAAAAGTGAGTTCTGGCTACTAGGTACGACATATATATATATATATATATATATATATATATATATATATATATATATATATATATATATATATATATATATATATATATATATATATATATATATATATATATATATATATATATATATATATATATATAATGTTTTTGGTATACACTCGATGCACCTGCTGCGAGTGGTCGACAGGTGTGAGATAACGCTGCGTTGTTAACGGAAGTGTACCTTGACAACGTGGGCGTTGAGGGCTACGTGCAGGTTGGGACTGATCCGGGCTGCAGGCTTGAGATATCCGTCGTTCGTCGACCATCGCCGCCCGTTCCGCATGGTCACGTCAATTATGGAGAAGCCTAGTGGGGGGTACACACGTTGTATTAACACACGTCTACATATACATTGGGGTCGAGAGGCTTATTCCCAAGGGTTTGTGGAAATACAGACCAGTTAACATTGACGTTCCTCGGAGTAGTATACTTGGTCCACTTCTCTTTCTCATTTACATCAATGATCTTCAAAATGCCACTCCACACTCGAAGCCAGTTCAATTTGTTGATGACACAACCTTTATTTTTCTCCCATACTAATCTACTTATTTTGAATGACCTTTTACATACTGAACTAAAAAAAAAATGTGGCTGACTGCTAACAAACTCCCCCTTAACACTGATAAAAACGTTTTACATATTGTTTAATTAATAACAAGTCCACAAACCAAACAAACCTAAGAAGTAACACTATCCAAATCTTGAGCAAAGTAGATGGAAAATTCCTTGGTGTTCACATTGACAGCAAGCTGAATTTCCTTTGCTATATACGAAATATAAACAAAAAAGGTTATAAAACAGTAGGCATTCTCTCCAAAATCAGATCCTACATATTTCCCCCTACCTTGATAGCTCTTTATTATTCCCTCATTTATCCATATCTCAACTATGGTATCTATGCCTGGAAATTTACAATCCCACATTTCTCCGACCACAGCACTAACAACACTACACGCCAGACATGACATGGAGCTTTTCGTCAAGAGCTTTAAAATGTTGAACAAGTAGGAAGATACTAAGCTAGATCACTTCTTTAGAAGGTCAACTAATAATACGCACACAAGGGGCAACAGCTTCAAGTTCAACCAACCACAATGGCGGGCAGTTTAAAATTCAGCTAGAAAAAAAAATCCTTAGGAGGAACGGAGAAGTCCTTGACAAGCCGACGTCTACCTGTTTCCGTCGAGGCCACTAAGAGTAGTACAGTCGGGTAAGTACTCGACTCACAATCTGGAATTTCGGGTTCAAATCCCGGGTAGGGCAGAAATGGTTGGGCACGTTTCCTATTTGCTCCTGCTCACCTAGCAGTAAATGTGCGTTTCCTGCCCGAAACGCTATGCGTGCTTTACAAGCATGTAAAAACTCTTGTATATATAAATACACAAATAAATAAATAAAAATTAAAAATAAATAGGTTCCCGGGAGTTAGTCAGATTGTTGTGGGGAGGATCAGTAATTCGACTTTGGAGGGGGGGGACTCGATATAAGCCTAACATTAAATACACACTGGCTGCCTGTCCCTCGATACAAAAATTATCACAAGAAATATATAATTATGAATTACTGTATATATTTCTTGTGATAAATGTTTTAAAAATTTAGGCTATCTACAAAAACCCGTTTTCTATGATATTGTTTATGAAAGAAAACGAATATATCTTTACCGCTCCATCTGCCTCTTCTGAAGCAGAGCACAGGCATAATGAACTAATTAATAATTATTAATTTTTAATAACTAATAACAATTCGTTGTGTTAATAATAATTCATTGTGATCACTCCAAGATAGAGTTACTGAGGATGGGGTCCTTAGCATGTGTAAAATAAAATTCACACTATTATTTTATCGTCATACTGTTATTCAAGAAAGCGCCATATATTTATGAGTAATTTAATACGGTCATCAGATTCTCGACGTTGTGCTCGGCTTAGGCTCGGCTACAAGTTCCTCTGAGAGTCTGCATCACTTGCTAAGTAGATCTGACCAATTGTAAACGCTTTCAGCAGAACTGTTGACATTACCTTCCGTCAAAATGTTGACCAGACCACACAATAGTAGGTGAAGGGACGACGACCTTTCGGTCCGTCCTGGACCATTCTCAAGCCGATTGCTTCCGTCACAATGTTATTAAATGTGAAAAAAGTCGTAGAATTTGGAGATAATTCTATCACCAATGTTAAAGAAATGTGTATTACTATAAAAATAATGTATTGCCAGAAATCTTAGCCAAAAAAATCGTTTTGTCGAGGAAGCCTAGTTTTATACTGTATATAAATTTACCTACATATTGTATAGGTCAATATATAGGACCCCAATGTATAGTATATATTGACCTTTCACTGTATGCACTCCCATAACAGATGCCTAACTTGGTACTAGTTATACACTTTGGTACTATTATGGATTTGGTACTATTCACTTCATAGTCCGAAACAAATAAGACTAAAAAAACAAACGTAAATATCCCTAGGACTAGTAGAGCACATATATGTGCTATATTAGGCCTTAAGTAGCGTTTATTAGGCCTAGGAAGGTTTAATTAGGTTAGTTTAGGTTGTCTTTGCAACATAAATACAAAACCTTTTCCCGTTTGTCTAAATTCAATAGTAAAAATTTCTACTTTCTAATTATTCACTACTTCATATATGTACTATGGTCCTCATCGTTACTATTAAGTGATAACTAAACAGGAGGACTGGCTGTATATTCTCAGTGTATGTAAGAACTTAATGATTTACTCATGACAAAAACAAAAACCGGAGATGAATATACACCGACAGGTGTTCCTCACTTTTTTGTATACACTGAGAGTTTACTTTAGTTGTGGACTATGTTCAGGACTAAAGTATACTTGTTCCATAGTCGGTCAGTAAGCAAGTGTTACGACGACCTTCATGTTAACTCCCTCGAGGTTGATGATATATATACCTTCAGAACAGCCCCAGAGCAAATAAGGTAAAATGGTAGGCCTGTTATATTTTTGTCAATAAAAATATTATTATAATAAAAATCCTAATTATGAATAATTACCAATTTGTTCGGGACCGTTGGGGTCTATGACGTCAAAGCCGAGTTGCTTGCCGGCCTTGAGGAAGGACCAGGCTACCGGAGTGTTCCAGCGCTTGTTCTCTACGGTCAGGGGTCCGCCACGCCCGTGGTATTTCTCTGCAACGTGTCCAGAAGTATAAGGTTATTTCCAACAAGAAAAAATTTAATGATTTTAACCTATCTCGTTCTTGCTTTTTTATATAGCTGTTCTAGATTGACATAGGCTATCGGAATTCGCTTGTTCTTCTGCTATGTTTAGTGGAAGAAGTGGTATGGAACATTAAAACCTGGGTTATTGTTTATTCGTAAATTAATGTCTCCTCTCTGAAAACTTAACCTTAGATTATTTTGTTTACAGCCTGAAAATTTCCCCTTTCCAAAATTTAGAAAATAATCTGTCATTTACACTTTCCTTAACTGGAGAAAATCCCTTCACCTCAGTACAGAGATTCTCCACATCAGAAGAGATCCTTCCCCTCAATATAGAGGTCCTTCACCTAAATAGACAGGGGTCTTCATCTCAACAGAAGGTCCCTAATTTCAAGAGAAAGCAATCCTTCCATTCAGAAATAGATAAATAAAAATTCAGGTACAGAAATCTCGTGGTGCAAATGGGCACAGTTTTTATCAAAGCCTGGTGCATGCTCGGGCCGCGCAGAGCCTACAAATGTGTTAGCCGTGGAGCTTAGTTAATAAACTCCAGGACTAACCCATCCGAATCGCTGGTTTAGCTTATTAAATAAGCTCCATCATTAATCAGTCCTATGAGGCAATCGCTGTAGAAGTGGTTCTGGTATTGTGTACGCCAGGGGGGTGTTCCCTTATATGTTATGCCAAGTTCTCATGTCTGTCCACATACCTGTTTCGCTATTTAACACTCCTTTAAAGTCCTCTGATTTCTTGAAGTACTTGAGGACGCTGTCATAGCGCCAGCCGGGGTTGCCTAGCGCCTCCCAATTATCGAAATCTCGCCGGTTGCCACGGACGTGGATCATGGAGTTGATAGAGGAGGAACCGCCAGCCGTGCGCCCCCGGGGGTATGGTATACTCTGCCGAGGTAGGGGTCCATAAACCTTGTAATCACATAGCCAAATAAATGTGCAGTGAGACAGTCTCTCAGCGGTGTTAAATTAGCGACCATGACACCTTATCACACCAGCTGTTTGAAGAATTTTAATTTAACTGCTAATTGTAAATTCCAAATATTTCTCAACTTAATCGTTAATAATCGTTCGTTAATAAGGCAGACTACAGCACTTGTCTAACAGTAAATAATGGTAATATCAGGAGTCATTGGAATGCAAAGTAAAAATATTAAAAAAACGAACATATACAAATAGGCTGATATCCCTTTACACAATTTGGCGCCGAGGCAGGAAGGGCGCCAGCAGTCACTGTTCGTCATGGGTGGAGCGTAGTTGTGTGGTTGCGTCTCTGGTCACCAACTCTACAAAACTGGTTTGTTAATGAAGAGATGTTCCCTATTCTCCTTTGTAGTAAGTAATATTGCATGTTGAGAGCTACTGGTGTTAGTAGTAGAGTGTAGACAGATAAATACTGTGAGCTATGTGAAGGTTGGATCATTTCTCACCTAGTTGTGCTTGCGGGGGTTGAGCGCTGGCTCTTTGGTCCCGACTATCAACTGGTGTACAGGTTCCAGAGCCTACTGGGCTCTATCATATCTACATTTGAAACTGTGTATGAAGTCAGCCTCCACCACATCACTGCCTAATGCATTCCACCTGTTAACTACTCTGACATTGAAAAAGTTCTTTCTAACGTCTCTGTGGCTCATGTGGGTACTCAATCTCCACCTGTGTCCCCTTGTTCGCGTACCCTTCTTGCTGTGGCCAAGTGGCCATGTTAGCACCTGGAGAGTGGCTGATAGTTAGAGAAAGATATCTGGGTTTTATATGTATTTGTGAGGTGATCCTTGAATGTTATTTGACATGTAGGATGGCTAGGCTATAACTTTTATTGTTCAATAGAGTTGTGCTTCCTTGGAGAATTTAATATTTACTGTTGCTTTTAAGTTAATCCTATTGTATTTATTAAATAGTTTAGTGCACTATATGTGTACACACACTCTTGATGGAATACCCGGCTGTGGCCAGTCACCGCAGATCGACCTGTGGTTTTTATGTCTGTCTCTGGCTTCTTATCTCTGCGTGTTTATTGTCTGTTTCTCACTCTTTTTGATTCTGTCTTCGGGTCTCTTTCTCTGTCCGGGTCGACCCGGTGCCCAGGTACGTTTGGCACTCGTTGAAGGGGTGAAGGATAGATGAAATTGTAATAATCTAAGATGAGGTCTGATAAAGACCTTTTGTGCCCTCTGTAATGCTTTTGCGCTACCGCTCACAGGATGAGTATGGGGTTCACAATAAACTAGCTGCCTTCGGCGGCAACAATCAATAAAAAACAATCGTTGAAGGGGAGGAGTGTAGGGAGGGAAGGGGGGTAGTTGTGCTACGCCTGGGCCAGGGTGAACTACCGGCCCGGTAGCTTTCCCTCCACTCTCACCCCCCACCCCTCCCGGCTCTCCTCTATTACAGCTAATAACAGGCAACCTAGCACAACAGAGACATTTTAATTTATAGGTATAGAGATATAAATACACCAAGTCTGAATTATTTTAAGAGCAAAATAACTTCTCACATTATTTTTGAAGGCTTTAAGCGAGTATTTCTGAGGAGTGCTACGGAAGTTCCAGTCGACGTCGCTCTGGAACAAGGCGACGTTGAGGGCTGGAACCAGACTCTCCGGAGGCTGCTGGCCGCCGGCCTCCAGCAGCAGCACCTTCCACTCCGCCACCTCCGCCAGCCGCGCCGCCATCACGCTCCCAGCCGACCCGCCGCCCACTGCCACACACACATATTAATTTACCTTCAACTTCTGTAGACAATCATGCATAATGGTAAATGTAACATCAGCGATAACAGTGTATTTCACGATGACTTCAGTTCTCCCATTCTAAGCCCCACGCGTCATGATATTCCTCTTAAAAAACTAACAGGTTCTAGCACCTGGTTTAAATTCCCAAATACACATAAGCGACTCGTACCAATGATAAAGTCGTAGGCCGGTGAGAGGTCGTGGGACTGGTCGTGGAGCTGGTCGCCCGCCTCCCGCAGCAAGGACGCCACCAGCAGCCGCAGGAGCGCTGCAGGAATCATTCGCAGCGCCCCCGATAACTGGGTCATCTTCCCTAGCTGCTTCCTTCGTTCTTTAAAAAATCTTTGGTCCCCCTTCGCTTCCTCAGTCGCTCCTTCACCTGCTGTGACGACTCTTATATCTTCCCCGGCCGACGTCACAGTCTCCCTGCAATGATAAACCGTTAAATATAACATATTTTGTCTTCACATGCTCATTGTTTTGTGTGCTTACCTAGCTGCACTCGCCTAGTTGTACTTGTGGGGGATGAACTACAGCTCTTTGGTTAAGTTTCTGAACCCTGCTCTTGGTTACCGCCTGCGTGTTTGCTTTTAAGTGCAATTATAATATTTATTAGAGGTGCCTAAATCTATTTCTGGAGTGCGTGAGGTTATCGCGTAAGCATTATCAGGGTGAACAAGACTCACCTTCCATGCTTCACGCGTGCGCCCATCCAAACTTTTCCTTCAGGGCGGCAATGGCAAGCATTGGGACGGCAGGAAATGCAGCTGTGTAATCACCTTATGTTAATGTACACACCTGTACCCACCCAATAATGGAAACATCTTTTTCGCGGTGAGGGATTGTGTGCTGCGACGATCTCAAACAGTATTGTCTGTAGGATGCCGCTGACCTCATTCCTAAGACGCTCGATTTATAATCAACCTGTCTTTTTCTCCCTCCATCCTCACCCTCTCCCTCATTCCCCACTCACCCACTCCCCCACTCATCCTCTCCCTCACTCCCCATTCATCCTCTCCCTCACTCCCCACTCACCCTCTCCCTCACTCCCCACTCACCCTCTCCCTCACTCCCCACTCACCCTCTCTCCCTACTCGTCCTCTCCCTCACTCCACACTCACCCTCATCCCCCTCTCCTCACTCACCTTCATTCCCCTCTCTCCTCCCCATTCCCCCTCCTGTGCCCCACACCCACTGACATTCCTGTCCTACGCTGCGCCTTAATTTAATAATAAAAACAAAACAAAAATTCGCTAATAAATAAATTCCTAACTGGAGTTTTGTCGCAGGTGATAAGACAGACAGTGTTCGTATTTGTGCATGTTTTTGTGCAATATTTATTTGGATACCTGTTGTTTGGTGATCACACATGCTCTGTTTGTTTTGTTCATCCGGAAATGACTTGCCGATAGGCTATGTGCATGATATTAGCAGCAAGGGAAGGACTGGTCAGTGATCTAGCGTGAGAAATGCATAGATTAATGAGGAACTCGACATCAGTATGCGCAAGTTCACCCTTACAGTCACAGGACAAGAATACTGACCTCATGAGCACTTCGAAAATTCAGATGAGCCATAATGTGAGGAAATATTTCTTTAGTATGAGGACACTATGGGAGTGCACAATAAACTACCGCTCACGGGTTGAGTATTGGGTGCACAATACCAAACTGCTAAGAGGATGAGTACTACAAGCACAATGAACTATCGTTCACAGGATGAGTATTGAGCACACAATATAAAACTGTTAACAGAAGGAGTATGGGGTGCACAATAAATTACCGCTCACAGGATAAGTATGGAGTGCACAAACTACCACTCACAGGATGAGTATGAATGTGCACAATAAACTACCACTCAGGATGAGTATGACTATGCACAATAGGCTATCTATCACTCAGGATGAGTATGGGGTGTATGATAAATTACCACTCAGGATGAGCATGGATGTGCTCAATGAACTACCACTCACAGGATGAGTATGAATGTACACAAATTACCATTTACAGGATGAGTACGGATGTGCACTGCCACTAACAAAATGAGTATAAGTTATCAACCCAGACGCCGGTTTGATTGGCTGGGTACACAGGAATGTGTACTCAGGTAGACACACCTGGTTTGTGTAGTGTACTTTGGTAGACACCTGGGCTATGTAGTGTGCGCTGGTAAACACCGGGGGCTGTCTGTACTGCGTGCTCTGTAAGACAGGTGCTGTCCAGCAGGGCGCTCTCTGTCCCTAGTGAGCCATCATTGGTTCTAACTGGTATTTATCATGGGGATTGTACCGGAAAGAGCGCGTATCAAACCCTTCCCAAGACAACCAATGGTGGTGGTGGGGAATACGTAGATTAAGCATTGAGTTGGGAAGGCCAATCTTTACACTTGTTAACACACTCTGCCCCGCCCGTAACACGCACACGCATGTACGGACGCATGTGAGCGCACACTGACACGCATTGAACGGACAGCACTCGTAATTATAAGGGCCCGGGTTACATTCCCGGCTGAGTCAGAAGCAAATGGTCAGGGTTATTAAATATGATTGAAATTATTCAGAAATTTTTCACAAAAAATTATATTTATTACTATAAATATTCCAATATTCATCACTGTTTGTGGAGTGGACAGCCGTGATGTTTGTGCATTGTTAATCGCCTAAAGAGGGACGTTGTTGTCTTGCCTATATACTGAGTTCGTTACGGCTGACAATCCCCAAGTGGACACGTGAAGGCGTAGACAACGTTGGTCTCTTTCAAGGCCTTTTTCTTGGTGTCGAGATAATTCTTTACTTGCAGGTTGGCGGTTTTCTTATTCTTATAATATATTGTTAGTTTTATCTTTTGGTTGACGTCAGTTGGGGTAACGTTCCTCTCAATGATCTCTTTTAGGGCTCTTTCCTCCGTTTTGTAGGCCGTGGAAAAGAAGTTTCTGTAGAACAATTTCATTAGAAGAACGGGTATTGTGATATGGGTTGTTCCGTCGCCTGTTGCACACCTCACCACCTTCCTTTTTATGATGTCTTCGACATAACCATTGGAGAAACCATTATTAACCCAAATCTGCCTTATTCTACATAACTCCTCATCCACCTGCTTCCACCCAGAGCTAACAATGGGTGGAACAATGCACAAACAATTGTACATTAATAATGCACAAATAATTGTGCATTAACAATGCACAAACAATTGTGCATTAACAACGCACAAACAATTGTGCATTAATAATGCACAAACAACAGAGCTCCATCAAGGAACATATAATCGCTACACACAACGAGACGATCACCAGGAATATTTTGACGAGCCACACGGAAATAATTGATAGATACAATGACAACAGACGATTTAGACATCAGTGAAGCGCCGCATATCAAGACATCTAGACCAGCTAATACACAGTTACACTCTACCCTCTTCAAGACCCCGGGCCAACGCAGAAGCTGGACCGAATGACCCTGCAAGCAACAGGAACGGAAGCAGCAAGAACATAAGCTGCCAACATGTAACATTCTATGTTAATACATTTAATACTTTATTAATATCCCCATGTAATGTCATTCATCCATATGTCACCTAACCACCTCACCATAAGAGGATATAACCAGACACTAAGTACAGTAGAGCACCCACTCCTGTGCCAGGTAAGTCCACTACGGGCTCACCATAGCCCGTGCTACTTGGAACTTTTTGTTTCCCAGTAGCTGAATCTTAAACAACAATAACAACAACAACACAGTAGAATTTGTCTTTGAGGATGTGAGGTGAGACTTTATGAAACACATCACTAGGCGTCAGACGAAAATAAAAAGTAAAAATGAACTTTGGAGAGTTAATTTTTCAACTTCCTGCTTCAGTGAAGAAAAACATAAGGACTATCGAGAAGATTCGTACCAGAATAATAAATCTAAAACTTTCTGTCGTTTTCAACGAAATATGTTGAAAAGAAAGACTGCTACCAATATATATATATATATATATATATATATATATATATATAAACATATATTCTGTAGCAGATATTTGTATATGAAATCAAGTTATAATTGGATGTCTTGTCACATTTATATTTAAAGACAATTGTTCCCCTTGACCTTCATCAGTCACAGATCTACCTCGTTCTCTTTGTTTTTGCCTTGCGTTCTTAACTTTGCTACCCACTGGTCTCCTACGGTGTGTGTGTGTGTGAGTGTGTTTCAACACACAATGTTAGTGTGTGGACCGGAGGAATAAGCTGAGAGGTCCAGATGGTCTGTGGGTATCCTGATCTGTCTGTGGACGTCCTAACCGATCTGGGGACGTCCGAATTGTTCTGTGGTCTCCCAGATGGTTAGTGAGTGTCCAGATTGAATGATAAGAACACCTGATAGAGTACATGACATTGACACAGAATATGGCATTGGTGCATCATTTGACACCTCTGCATCATATGACACTGGTGCAACAAATGACACTGGCGCAACTTATTACACTAGCGCAACACATGATATTGATAGAACATATGACATTGGTGTCAGCGTTTAACACATTGTGCTCTGACATTGTCCTGAGGATTGTATGACTCCAGCATATGTCACAAGGCCACCCGCCCGTTGCTACAAAATGAAGCTCGGTTCCTAGACTTGAAATTCCTGTGACTTCCTCACCCGAGCTTCCGCTTTGGTGACTCAATGAGTCAAGTCTCCAAAACTTGCTATGTAACCCGAATATTGGCTAAGATGAGGCTGCCATGGTTTACAGGAAGAATATCTATTGTAAAAAGCTGCTAATGAAGTTCCTTGGCGGTGGTCATCTCAGTAGTCTAACCCAGTAGCTCAATCCATTAGTTGAACCCAGTAGTTCAACCCAGTAGTCTAACCCAGTAGTTCAACCCAGTAGTCTAACCCAGTAGTTCATCAACCCAGAGTCTGACCCAGTAGCCCGACCAGTAGTCTAACACTAGCCTAATCCAATAGCCTAATAATTTTGGCCATCTTACAACGTTAAAAATAAACTCACCTGTTAGTTTAGTCTGTGTTGATGGGTTATCACTGATAACAAATTAAATTTTCTCAAGAGTTTCCAAAAACGTTAATTATTATTATGCATATTTACACTTTTAAATTAGCGGAAACTGATGATCAGGACGTTTAATTCATCACGTTTTGAAAGCATAACATTAAGTTTCACACAAACACCGAGTTAACAGAACCTTCTATATTTTTTCAATAGCGGTGAACACAAGGAGCCAGAGTGAGGCAGCGACGCGTCAAGGCGTGCTCGACAAGTGACTGCTAGAGACGAACTGGCCACCCTTGGTAGGTCTAGGTACTCCGGCTCACGCCCGGCGCTCACCTAACCCTGTCCCTCACCTTGGCAGAGTGCTTCCTGCTTTCTACGCGCGACATTCACCTAATTATAAAGTCCTTGTTATTGGTAGGTCTCTACGGATATACTGTGTATATATTTGTGTCTCTACGAAGTCTTGTGTATATATATATATATATATATATATATATATATATATATATATATATATATATATATATATATATATATATATATATATATATATATATATATTACAACAGTTTTGGATGAGATGAAAACAAACTTTCAACACAAGACAGAACACGAAACAGTGGGTATAATATTTTGTAAGTTAAAGGGAAGAATGGAAGTAACTGAAAAGGGCCTATTGGTCCATATTTCTTGAGTATATATATATATATATATATATATATATATATATATATATATATATATATATATATATATATATATATATATATATATATATATATATTGGTGTATACTGGCAGCAGGTTTTCCTTTAAACATGTCTCATTGAATATGACCGCATATTCTGTATTTACTACTGATTTAGGGCTTCTATCCCTCTAACTATTTTCTTAGCATCAGGGCTTAGCTGAAAGAGTTCTCCAAAACTCATTTTCGTAATTTCAAGGTGAAGAAAAAAGTTAATTACTATAGAATATATATATATATATATATATATATATATATATATATATATATATATATATATATATATATATACACACACACACATACACACACAGGCTTCTTGTCCCTCGGCAAAACGAATTATGTATACTACGTCGCATCCCGACTCACGACCCCCCCTCGTTTTGTCTCATGCTAGTCTGTCTCTCACCCTGATTACTTCTCATTTTCGTGGTCTCTCACCTTGGTAGTATCTCATTCTAGTGGTCTCACCTGGGTGGTCTCTCACCATGGTGGTCTCTCACTCTGGTAGTCTCTCATCCTAGTGCAAAGTCTCTTTGGTGATCTGTAAGAGACCTTGGTAGCCTTACCCGGTCTCTTACCTTAATAAGTCTCTCACATAGTGATCTCTCATTCTAATGGTTTCTCACCTTGGTAGTCTCTCGCCTAGTGGTCTCGTACGTAAGTTAACGAAATAGCCTCACACCCTGTTAGTTTCTCACCCCTGTTGGTCTCTCACCCTGTTAGTTTCTCACCCCTGTTGATGTCTCACCGTGTTAGTTTCTCACCCCTGTTGATGTCTCACCTTGGTATTCACTCACCCTGGGCGATGATGTGTTATTAAACCGAATAACAACAATGATTCTGCTTCAGAAAAAAAATAGTTAACCTTGTAGGAAATTCAAACGCTCCACAGAAAATACGTTGTTGTTGTCTTGGGTGGTTTCGGCCACAAGTATGTACTTGCTTATTTGGGCTCATGTATTTGTACCAACAGGGGGTCGAGGATCAGCTCTTGCGCCCCGACTCTTCAGCTGGTCCTCTAATGCAATGACTCCTAATCTTCTTGGGTCACATGATCATGTGTAATTTTATAATTGGGGATGTGGGTAGGTAGCTTCTAGTGCCTCTTCTTCTAGTTAATATATTTATCCTATGACTTTTATACTGAAGAATTTTCTCACATCTATACGACTCCTTTGTATATAGTTTCCTCGATATCCTGAGACGAGTCTTGCTACATTCTTTTGAACTTTTTAAAAAATTTCCTTGTGTGCTTTTAGAAATAGGACTGCACGTCGGGACTGCATTATCTAGGACTGATCTCACGTAGGTGGTGTACAGTGTTCTGAATGTTTCTTTATTGACGTTCTTGAAAGCTGTTCTTATGCTCACTAGTTTAGGGTATGCTGCTAACGTTATCCTGTATATTCGACTCTGGCGTGTGATACCCAAGCATTTGGACTGGTCGGTATAGCAATGTATCGCGTCCTGCAAGTCAGTGTTTGATTCCCGACCTCCAAGTGGTTGGGCGCCATTCTCTTATATCCTTGTCCTCATATTCTTTCTCATTGCTATATGGACGTAGTAGTTTATACAGTTCTCCTGATAATTTTCTTGTCTCTGGAGTATGCCATGGTGTCATTTCTCCTCTAAGGGGTAGATAGATTCAATAGAATCTAATAGATTCAGGTAAGGTGTACTGTGTACGGTTGTTGGTGCACTCTGTAGTTCATCTTTGCATGGTTTGTTGGTGTCTTCGTATATGTAATTGGAACATCGTGTTAACATCTGCTGTGTATGTGTTACCGTCTGACTATTCCTAAAACGTCCACTTTCGTTTTATTAAGAATGCCACACCCATCTCCCTACCTTAGCTTTCGTATAATAATTACCTGACATACTCTTGGAAATATTGAATACACACACACACACACACACACACACACACACACACACACACACACACACACACACACACACACACACACACACACACGTGCGTATGTGTGTGTGTGTTTACTCACCTAGGTGTGCTTGCGGGGGTCGAGCTCTGGCTCTTTGGGCCCGCCTCTCAACTGTTTTTTCACACTATTTATTCTTGTTTGTGTGTATGGAAGACTAATATATTAAGTTACTCAGGACATGTACCAACAATAGTGAAGGTGATGTTATGAACCAGGAGCGATGTGTGTGTGGGGGGGGGGGGTGGCCAGTATCCAAGTCAGAACTCTGTGGCCGCCACAGTGACAAAAACCCCGTTTTCCTTGAGTATGCGTTAAAGATAAATTCTGATTGCGTTCTCTTTTACGTATAAAATTAGTGTCTGTACGCTGTTGTTTGTTGGCTTTACAATGCCAGTATTTTGTTATATCTTTTGTTAGATATTTTTCAGTCTTGTTTTTCATAGATTTTTTTACTGAACTTTTTGTTAAGTTAATCCAGCTTAGGTTAAAATCGCTTAGGTTAGGTTGTATTATGTTAACCTAAGTTAGGTTAGATTAGGCTAGATGGCAGTAGATTACGTTAGGTTTAGTTTAGATTAGGTTGTATTATTTGGTTAAGTTAAATTATGTTAAAGAGTTGATTACGTTAGGTTAAATTTGTTAAATATTCCTGCGGTAATTTCGATGTTAAATTCCTCATGGAACTCTCAGCTTATGCTGTTTTTATAGTTAATTTACTTATAACATAGTTTTATATGATGTTAAATCGTTGTGTGATGGTAATTGGTCTTTCAACTTCCTTCAACCTGTTCATGCTCCAAATTGATTGATCAGAGAGAATTAATGCTTTTCCAAATCTTCTATTTAAAATGATACATATGCAAATAACAGAGGTTTTCTTTTCCATACACCAGTTTTCAGTATGAGCAACTGGTTGTTGTGATTCACATACAGTTGTTGAGATACACATACAGTTGTTGGTTGTTGAGATTCACATACAGTTGTTGGTTGTTGAGATTCACATACAGTTGTTGGTTGTTGAGATTCACATACAGTTGTTGGTTGTTGAGATTCACATACAGTTGTTGGTTGTTGAGATTCACATACAGTTGTTGGTTGTTGTGATACACATACAGTTGTTGGTTGTTGTGATACACATACAGTTGCTGGTTGTTGAGATACACATACAGTTGCTGGTTGTTGTGATACACATACAGTTGTTGGTTGTTGTGATACACATACAGTTGCTGGTTGTTGTGATACACATACAGTTGCTGGTTGTTGTTATTCACATACAATTGTTGGTTGTTGTGATTCACATACAGTTGTTGGTTGTTGTGATTCACATACAGTTGTTGGTTGTTGTGATACACATACAGTTGTTGGTTGTTGAGATACACATACAGTTGTTGGTTGTTGAGATACACATACAGTTGTTGGTTGTTGTTATTCACATACAATTGTTGGTTGTTGTGATTCACATACAGTTGTTGGTTGTTGTGATTCACATACAGTTGTTGGTTGTTGTGATTCACATACAGTTGTTGGTTGTTGTGATTCACATACAGTTGTTGGTTGTTGAGATACACATACAGTTGTTGGTTGTTGAGATACACATACAGTTGTTGGTTGTTGAGATAAACATACAGTTGTTGGTTGTTGAGATACAGTAGTTGATAGGATTCGTTGTAATTTAATTTCAAAATAATCGTTTCCTGAACAAAGTTTTGCTTAACATCAACCAAAACTCCAGTACAGACGTAAAATAATAAAAACGGATTACTTAAAAAAAAAATTGCTAACACAAACGTGATCTAAGGAACTTTACAGAAAGTTACTATCGTTAAAGAAAGCAACTAGCCACAAGAAAGTGTAACAAGTGTGAACATCCCAGGTGCCCACTTGATCTGAATTTTGGCCAGGAAAAAAATTGTCCTGCTGGGCCCATGTCTGAGGTGCCCTCTCTCTGGGCTGTTTACTCTCTAGTATGTATATACTCTTAAGCTGAAAACTACATCAGCCAACCAAAATTTGGCCTTAATTGTATAACTAGCTCGAATTAAATCATCATTTTTATCGTCTTTGTAAAGCCAGCGGCTTCCTGTCCCCATCGAGGCCGCTGGAGATGGTAATCATTAGGAAAAATCAAGCAATTTAAGTACATGTTATTGTTGACACTGAAGCTACAGCTGTTATCGTGGTTATTATTAGGTCTGCTAACCAATCATCGAGTCTGGAGCTAGCGAGCTGTAAGCACAAGGGCATAAGGGGCGTATCCACACGTGGGGGGCGGGTGAGAACCTCATTAACGGTCTCCGTAAAAGATTTTGAGTAAAGGGAACCATTTAAATTTTTTCACCTAGAAGAGCTTAGGTATAATGAGCTAAGGGGTAGGAGGGCGGGAAGGTGGGTAAGAAGGGTAAGGGGGGGGGGGCGGGAAGGTGGGTAAGAAGGGTAAGGGGGGGGGCGGGAAGGTGGGTAAGAAGGGTAAGGGGGGGGGGGAAGGTGGGTAAGGAGAGGAAGCAGACGGCTTACCCTGATTGTAGATTTTAATTTATTCGTTTAATATTTGTTTACCTATACGCCATATAGCAGTTATCAGGTTTTCATTGACTATATTAAACTGTATC